TGTCGGCGGAGAAAAAATGGAAAATAAACTCATGAACACGCAATAGCGTTAAAAAAATTGTTTTTTTGTTTTGCTTTTTTTTTAGATCGAAATAAAAATATATAAGCATATTAAAATTGTTTTTTTTTTTAAAAAAATAATATAAAATGTCGAGAAGTGCCTTACGTGCAATAGTCGTTTAAATGTTCTGGAAATCTCACCCTTCTTCCAGAACGCGTCGTTTTAAGTTTATTTTCGGATACTGTCAAAGTATCATCGTGTGTGTTGGTTGTCGGATGAGGTATTATAAGTGTCGGAGTCGTGTCGTTCGATTGTACCGAAGGAAAATCCACGTAGATAGGATTTCCTTCTAAATACGCTGCTTTTAAGCGATCGATACTGATACTATCGTTGGTTCCGTTCTTATCGACTATATAGTACTTAGATTCACGTTGAAGAACTTTGAAGGGTCCTTCGTATGCTGATTCGAAGGGTCGTCGATGCGAGTCTCGACGAACGAAAACGTGTGTACTATATCGTAAGTCAGGTTGAACGAAAACATCAGTTGATTGAGGTCGAGTGGAAGCAGGTTTAACTGAACGCATTGCGTTTGTAAGCCTGTTCGTGTAGGAGGTTAGATCCATGTTCATTGAAGAGGATGAAGGATCCACGAATTCTCCTGGAAGTCGAAGTGTCGTTCCATAAACGAGTTGAGACGCAGTGTATCCAATGTCAGCTTTCACTGCATTGCGGATACCTAGTAAGACGAGTGGAAGAGCGTCGGTCCACTGTGAAACGTTTGCAGCTGATAGCGAAGCTTTCAGTTGTCGGTGAAAACGTTCTACCAACCCGTTTGCTTGTGGATGGTAGGCGGTCGTTCGGAAGCGAGTGATTCCTAAAAGTGTGGTCAGACGACGGAAAAGATCGGATTCAAACTGACGTCCGCGGTCTGTAGTGATGGTTGAAGGGCAGCCGAAGTTTGCTACCCATCGTTCGACGAAGGTGCGGGCCACTGTTTCAGCAGTGATGTCCTTGATAGGTACTGCTTCTGGCCATCGAGTGAAACGGTCTACGCAGGTTAAGAGATAAGAGTATCCATTTGAATCCGGTAAAGGTCCTACCAAATCCAGATGAACATGGTCGAAACGAGCATCGGGAGTTTTAAACGAGCCTAAGGGACATTTATTGTGTCTGATAACCTTAGATTTTTGGCAGCTTACACAGGAGCGTGCCCACTCCCTCACGTCTTTATTCATGCCAGGCCAGCAAAACCGTTCTGCTATAAGCTTGATGGTTGCACGAACACCTGGATGAGAAAGTTTGTGCAATGTGTTGAAGACATTGCGTCGATAATGTTTCGGCACGATTGGGCGATCCCTACCTGTAGATGTGTCACAAAGTAAGGTTTCCTTACCTGTTCCCATCTGTTTGATGCGTAGTTTAAGTGTTGTGGACGATAACTCGTGCTGAAGATCACTGTCTTCTTTTTGAAGCTCGGCGAGTTTAAGAAGGTCGATTCCTTGGAAACTGTTCAAGGAAGTTATACGAGATAAGGCGTCTGCAACTACATTGTTTGCTCCAGAGACGTGTTGAATATCTGAAGTAAACTGCGAAATGTAGTCCAGTTGTCGAGACTCACGGGGAGAGTACTTGTCAGAAGGAGAGCTTAACGAGAAAGTGAGCGGTTTATGGTCCGTGAAAAGAGTGAATTCACGACCTTCGATGTAGTGTTGGAAATGCCGTACAGCACAATACATAGCTAGGAGTTCCCTACCGAATGTGCTGTACCTCGATTCGGTGTCTAGCAACCTTCTAGAGAAAAATGCCAAGGGTTGCCAGGAGTTGTTAACCCATTGTTGTAAGACTCCTCCGATTGCCGAGTCGGATGCGTCTACTGCGATGCTAATGGGTGCTCGGGTGTCCTGATGGGCAAGCATCGTTGCTTAAGCAATAAGTTCCTTAACTGTGGAGAATGCTTTTCGTGCGGTGTCGTCCAAATTAATGGATTTCGCATTTCCACGAAGTTGGTCGGTCAGAGGTTTCATAAGTAATGCGCATTTCGGTATGAAACGTCTATAGAATCTTACCAGGCCGTTAAACGTGCGTAATTGCTTGACGGTGGTCAGTTCTGGGTAATCCAGAATGGCCGCCACTTTGGTCCTAAGAGGTCGAATGCCTTGAGCATCGATAGAGTGTCCTAGGAAGTCTAACGAGTCGGTTCCGAATTGGCATTTCTGAACGTTTACAGTTATGCCATGTTTTTGAAGTCGTTCGAAAACAAGATCCAGATGCTTGAGATGTGTTTCTCTGTCCGGACTTGCGATTAGACAGTCGTCAACATACGCGTTTACGAAGTTGAGACCTCGAAAAACGTCGTCTATGAATCTTTGGAATGTTTGAGCAGCATTCCTTAGACCGAAAGGCATTCGCAAAAATTCATAGAGTCCGAAAGGAGTTATGATAGCTGTTTTCGGTATGTCGTCAGTAGCCATAGGGATTTGGTTATACGCTTTAACCAAGTCGATTTTCGAAAAGACAGTTGTACCTTTCAAGGTAGCTGTCAAATCGTGAATGTGAGGCAACGGGTAACGATCGGGAATGGTTTTCGCGTTCAATCGCCGATAGTCACCAGTTGGACGCCAATCGTTGCTGTCCTTTTTAGGGACCATGTGCAACGGAGATGCATATGGGCTACTTGACGGTCGTATGATTCCTAAGTCCATCATGTGATCGAATTCGTTTTTCGCTAACCTTAGCTTTTCAGGAGCTAGTCGTCGTGCTTTAGAGAATACAGGTGGTCCTGTAGTCGTGATGTGATGTGTAACATTGCTGGTTACACACGGTAGTTTCGGTTGAGTTTGTTGTATCCTAGGGTACTTATCGAGTAGTGGTTGATAGAGTGGGTCTATCATATGTTTAACTGTGACTGGGGATACTCTACAACCAGTAAAAGAAGATACGCAAACGGACAAATTAGTGTTTCCGTCTACTAGCCTCCGTTTGCGAGTGTCGATGATCAGATTGTGGTGTTGTAGAAGGTCCATACCAATGATTGGCATAGAAACATCTGCAATAACGAAAATCCAGTGGATGGGTTTGCGTAAACCCACGTTAAGGTAAACGTACCTTTTGCCATACGTAGCGATCGGTTTTCCGTTTGCCGCCTGTAAGTTTAGGGTCGATTCGTGTAGTCGGTCTTTAGGATTTGCTGGGAGAACGCTAACTTCTGCGCCAGTGTCGACGAGGTAACGAACTCTCGTTGTCACATCTGTGACGAATAACAGACGGCTTTGTTCGCCGGCTACGGTTGCCGTTAACGCGTGCCGGCTTGGAAGTTTCCCGAATTGCTTTTCGAATCAGTCGGTTTCGTGTTGGGAAAATTGCAGGGTTTTCTGCAATTTCTGGAAAGCTTTCCATACTGGTTATGATACCAGCACCAGTCGGGGTTATCTGTCTCTCGTGGTCTAGAGACAGATCGCTTACGAGAAATGCTTCTACGTGGTGTGCGCGATCTCTCACGGTCGGTACGAAGACTAAGATAACGCGTGAGTGTGTGACATAAGTCGTTTATATCATTCTGAGTCGTTTGAGGTTTTTCTTTGACTGAAAATACCTCGGTAGTAGATTTCGTAATTTCTAAAATGCGGTCGGCAGATGCAGCTAGCTCGTCTAAGGCATTGTTCTGGAACGAGACCAGAACTGCTTGCACCTGTTAGGGAAGTTTTGACAAGAAGAGTTGTTTGAATAGACTTTCGTCGAAAGTTCTTGGGCCTATTACCTCTCTCATTCGTTGCAACATGTCCGTCGCAGAACCGTGTTGCAGGTCGATATTGTTGAAGAGTTGATCTAACCTTTGTCGATCGGTTAGGTCTCCTCGTTTAAGAATCGAGCGTTTTAAGATTTCGTAAGGATCGGAAACATCACTAGTAAACATACTAGGTGTTACGTACCTGTTGAATTCGCGCGGTAGTGCCTTGACTACTGCGAGGAATTGTGCACGTGTGTCGATCACGCCGTGCTCGTGGAAGTCGGCTTCTGCGTAGCAGAACCAGGCTTCGATGTTGTCGGGCCAGAAAGGCATCAGTTGAAACGAAGGCGGGGACAAAGTCTTAAGCTTGAGTACTTTAGGTGTCTGTTCAGTCATGATGAAGTATGAAGTACGATAATGAACGAGGGGAAAATATATATATCCAGGAAAAAACACGAAAAAAAAATCACAATGTTTAAAAAAGTTAAAAAAATAAGGCAATGATATATAAAAATCCCGAAAAGGAACAGACTCACTGTTGCAATTAGGTGTACCAGATCACGTCGGTTTCACCAATGATGATGTCACAGGTATTCAGTGTTTGACAACGCCTCTACCAGTAACACCTTCTAATACATTTCGTTCCCGCCCAGAGAAATCAAAAGACAGAGTCGAGGAGATCGGAAGAGTGTATTTGGCGATGACCAATATATCGGAATTCTCTGATCTAATCTGGCTAGCGATTGCGGTTGATGTTGAGCACGGCGTTACCACACGTGATCTGGTGCGGATGCCTGACCGAGCGCCTTCAGCTAGGTGAGTCCACTAAAACATATGGTCAGCATCCAATGTCGAGAACTTAGTGCTATTTATTTTGGGGATTTATTTACCGCTACAACATTAATGCTACGCACAAAAAGACATGTACATAAAGAAACTGGTTAAATAACACTTCCTCTTAAAAAAATATTCTACACACCTTACTGAAGTTTCAAATTTATATGCTTTTAGTTTCATAGTTTAAAATATTGTGAATAATTAGTATATAAAACCACTTGACTTTTGATATATCATTGTAACCTAAAAACCATACCTAAAACTACAGCCTTACACCAAGACACAAGCCTAAAGAAACCAATCCACTTAAAAAGCTCATCATGAGGATGCTGGGATACTTCACAAGCGTAACGCGGGACACTCGCAGTGAGCGCAACTTCGATGACATTAGTTACTTTAGTGTCGAATTCTGAGTCATAAACAGCGTCTTGTTCCGATGGATGTTGATTTGTACGCGTACTTTGGCCTCAGAGATGATTGTACTGCAAAGGACATTCAGAGAGCGTATAAGAAGAAGGCAAGGGAGGCACATCCTGATAAAAATCAAGACAATCCGTTGGCAAGTATGTAATCATACGTAGTAATTATTTCCTAAGAGGAATCATTTCAGCAACTGGCTATTTATTTCGAAATTCTTCACGATCCCGTTAAAAGGGTATGCTATGGTGATCTTATTCAAATTTTATTATTTTTAGTCACATATCATTTCAGTTTTGAGCCTTTTCAGAAATCCAACCTAATAATAATGGATAGCATTTTTAAATGAACAATCATCATTATTTTCACTAAAACATTTGGTGATATCATGAACACATCTTGTTTCTTGCTAATGTGTGTGTTGATAAACTAGATAGATGGGCTTTCGTAACTAGGTCGTTCAAATTATTAAACTGGGAATTCTATGTTACCCTTCATGCAAAACAATATCCTTTAGGTTTTAGAACGTCATCATGGACTGGGGTTTATCTCAATATTCATTTTTTGTATAAGTTTTATATTACTGAGGTTTATGTATCAGATATTAAAATTTAGGCGTATAGGGTTCACTGTAATTTTGTTTTGTGCACCCGAAAGATAAAAGGGATGGAGTTTTATCTCTAAAAACAAAATGCCAAAGGTATATCCCAGTTATGACTAAGTGCGTACTGCATACCATCTTTGATACATATAAATGTTCAGTTAATATGGGAAAACTGAGTTCGATGTAGGCTAAAAGAGTCAATATCACTGTAACCCGAAGTCTTTACCCAACGTTTGTGACTAAGCGCATGAGTGCTTATTTTTATAGCTTATCAAACCCGAAAGTATGAAAATTCGGTATTTAAATTTAATCTCAGTCAGAAATTTCGGTCGTGCTAACTATATTACTCGGTTGTTCAGACAGCATTTTATTATGTATTATTGAGTGTGAAGCTTAGTTTTCATGATTTAGGTATTAGTTTAACGCATCACTTGAAAGAAAAATCATTTGGATATATGCTTGTGTATTGGTTGTGTCAATATAGTGTCTGGAGTTGGGAAACTTTAGCATGTAGTCAAACTTAGGGGACTGCACCCGGATCATCGCTCTCTATTATTCATGGCAGTAAATTCTAGTGGGCCACAAAAGATGAGTAATATGCAGACTACAAGCGCTCCTATTTCATGAGATTAGTTCGTCTTGTTACACTTGTATTTTCTTGTCGAGAAAAAGCCTGTATATCAATTGTAAATTCAGCTTTCGTCTTATCAGTAATGTTCTGGACAACACATTGCACTTCTTTGGGTAAGTATTCCTCATAAGGCAACAAGTTATATAGTATTTATCATGACTAGTCGTAAAAACGTGTTGAAAATTATGGTGCAGAAATCCTAATATCGATTTGGTTGTCCGCTTTAAAATTCAAAATAATGGCTTACTGTATTCCATTCAGGATCAAACTTAACGCCGCGTTTGTTTAAAGGATTTATGCACTTTGTCAATTTGTTTGCTTTTGTATGTAAATTCAATACATGTATCACGTTCCTGTTGACGATAATCATTTCTATTAATTCATAAGGCTTTTTAATAGGGTATTTCTATGTTTAATGTGATTTAGAAAGAATATGATCAGAAATGGAAAGCAAAAAGAGAGGCTATTAGAAGAATGGAATCTATGGACTCGTCACGAAGAAAGCTTAAAGAAGGTAGGTTATGAAGTCCTGTCCTCTTATTTTTATTGATATATTCGTGATGCGTGCCGCCTATCTAATTTTTTCTGAGTAGACTTATCTTGAAAAGTGTATATGAAGTAGTTACCAAAATGTTACTTTGCTAGTCATATAGCATGACAGATATTTCAAAGCGGTTGCGGCGAGACTATAATTTATGGACAAATCAATCAGATTTAGGATAATTGGTCTTGGGTTTTGACGTGAAATTCATTAATCCATTTGGCTAAATAACCTTTTAACATTTTAGCTGATGTCAGTTAGTGATGAGAACCCGGAATCTAATTCCAACCCTAGCAATCAACTGTAAATCATAATCTTTATTCTTCCCATATCTTTCTTTCTACGAACTAATTCTCCCTTCCTGTACTATGTTCTTATATGCAATCTTTTACATATTACCACCACTGATTTTACTACTATGAATCCGGTGTTCATCTTGTTGTACTAATGAGGTATGGCAACTTGGACCGATGCACATATGTGCCTGATCCTACATTGTAGCTGACTGACTGATAACCCTCATTTAGTTCTAGTAAGTAGGTGGACACTCGAGGTCACTTTATTGTTGCTCAGAGGTTGTCCTTAAATTATAGTCTCACCTCATTTGCTTTTTTACTTAAATGTATAAACAAGTATCCTCATATAATTCAGTTAGTAAAACACTATGAAAAATCTTTAACTTTAATGAGTTTATTTGTAATTGCCTAATCGTTCGTTGTTTACTCTTCTAATTCGTTGGTGGAAGATTTTTGAATTTTCTGTCAGTGCGAAATAGTTTTCCTCACTTTGTAGCAATCAATGGCCTTTAGAACTGTTATAACAAAGGGTGAATCGAAAACTTCATTAGTGATTTCCTTGTAGTAAGACGCGTATATTACTTCAGGCTACTCATTTTGAGTTCCCATCATATAGTACACTTGTGTATGACCTCGTTGCTATCATATAATCAGAAGGAACGTTCAATCGGATTCAATAGATGTTTCGCATGTATTTCCCGAGTTAGCTGTGGAGTTCGTTTGATTCATGAAGTAACCGAACTGAGTCATGACTGCTATCACTGTTTTCAGTTAGTTGTTAACTGACTCAGGTTTGTGTTAGGATGTGGAATTCTACGTATTCATTAACTTTGTGTTAATTTTATCAACAGGCTTTTTTGTTGCTGTTGGTTCTTCTATTCTCAGGTTAACATCTAACAGAAAAACAAATCAGTATAGAGAAAAAGTGATATCTATAGATTTTATTGCTCAAAGCAGTTTTGATATACTGATTCAGTCATTTTTGTATGCTGTGCTGAATACTAAAGTTTGTTATTTCATACCTTACATAATTGTATTACAAAGTTGCTATATTTTAAAGTAATTCTTATGTATATGGAATTTCCACATTTATTCTGAACTAAGAGCTAGAAGCGAGAGAAGCGGCTGCCATGGCTTTGCGGAAGAGGCAGTTTGAAACTGTGGTTAAACAACAAGCAGCCGACCAGATTCGCAGGGATTGGGAACGCCATACTGAAGAAATGAAGTGGCAAGCTGAAAGGAAACGAAAATCTACAAATGAGGAGACTGACGATGTGAAGTTCAAATGTACTAAATCTGATCAGGCTGTGGTGAGAGTAAGTTTTAACCCATTTCTTGAACGTAATCGATAGATTTAATGCTAATATTAAACTATTAGATTTCGTCTTTATTCCCATGAACCTTCATTAACTAAAGATAATCTTCTTTCTGTTCCGTTTCTTTGATAGTCAAATCCTGGCACTTTAAAATCATGAATATGTGTACAACTCATCTCATGATAAAATAAGAAAGTTATTTAGTAAGAATGGTTTTTTGAGAGCTTTCAGCTTGAATAGAACAGTTACACGTTGTGCAGGAGATATCTTAGTAATATCCTGTTTAAACTGACATCAGAAACTGACGAGCAGTTTCACTTAAAACCGAACTGAACCTAATAATCTCATAATGGAAGTCCCGACCGTAGCTGCTACCTTGGCGCGGTGGTCGGGCTTGCCCATCGTGATGACCCAACCGAGCTACATTGACTGGAACATATGTTCCTGTAGGTTCTACCATCCCAGGCAGGTCGATTGGAGAACGTTAAGACTAAAAGCAGCAACTCAAGGTCTCAGGGCGAAGTCATACTGCTGACTGTAGAGGGGTGTGACAGCAGTAAGGGGTTTCCCTCGGACAACCAGCATCTGCAACGATGCTGCCTTCCCACAAGGAGGGGTGCGATTAGGAAAGGTCGACCTTAAAAATGTCACAACTCACCTTACCTCACGGATTTCCGTCTCCGGCGGTAAGGCCCTATGAAGAACGGAGCTAACATAGTAAAAACCTCCCACGAAAAGGCCGTGCGCGACCGGCCTCAAGCAGTTGTCCCTTGGGCTCTGCGGTCACGCTCCCAGGTCGTCAAGACCAACACTAATCCAATTTCCTTTACAGGTTCCTCAAGAAATACCCTCCCATGGTGTGGGCAATCGTGAAGTAACACCAGACCTCATACCTGTAACAACACACGAGACCAAGTTGGTCACATTCAAATCCTTCCTACACCTCCTAATACCTCTCTTATCTCCACGACTAACCCTCCTCACGTCCCTTTATCACCTCACCGCCAGGGCAAACGATTCGAGTACGTGGAACGCTATTCCTGTTCTCCTGAAACCACGCTCTAAACTACACGTAGGAGCTTTCAGCGTCCGAACACTGTGCCAAATAGGACAGCAGGCTTCCTTAGCTAGGACATGAGAATCTCGCGCCACCGATGTGTGCTGCGTCTCTGAGACGCGCATACAGGATCCGAGTAGCGTCATTCATTTGACCTCAGTATATCAAAATAAAGAACCAACTCGATTTACGCTTCGTGTATCTGGAAGCCTTGATGCTGCTTGCCGTGGCCTCGCCGGCGTAGGCATAGCATTGAGTCCTATAGCAGAACTAGCTCTCTTAAACTGGGTCCCAGTAGACAGCCGTTTGTGAGCTGTCCGACTAAACGGAACAGTAAGGATCCGGAAAGATAGGGACACTCGTCGTTGCCTCTTCGTCGTCTCTACCTATTCTCCCACAGACTGCAGCTCAAATGATGTAAAAGATAAGTTTTACAGAAAGCTTTCCGACCTTCTCCGAAAAGCTAGGCGCTCTGATGTAGTAATAGTGGCCGGTGACTTTAATGCTCAAGTAGGTAAACTAAGCGATAGGGAAAGACACCTAAGTGGATCTTATGGTGTCGTGGCTCAAAGAACAGATAATGGCGACCGTCTGTTGCAGCTATGCTCAGATAACCGCCTGTTCCTTGCAAATACTAACTTTAAGCATAAGGAAAAACATCTTTTAACATGGCGACCCCCTAATTCGTCCCAACGTTGGACCCAAATAGTTACATCGCTATCAGCCACCGATGGAGGGGCTCGATAGAAGACTGTCGCCCATTCTGGAGCACATGCTTAGATTCAGATCATGCTGTAGTACGAGCGCGTATTTGTCAGCATCTTACTGGACGTAGGAAAGACGCAGCAAGGAAACCTCTTAGGGTCCTACTTAATGATAGTCAAGCTAAGAGTATATTTCAGGCACAACTAGGAAAACAGTTAGGCAGCCATGTATGTGATGCCCACCCCGAGGCAGCATGGAACGTTATCCGAAAAGCTGTGGAAACAGCAGTGATATCTGCTAGTAAGGTAAACCGTAAAGTTAAGGAGAAACACTGGATCTCAGCAGCATCTATCGCACTGATAGATCCTCGGAAACTCATTCCACCTGACTCTGAACATAAGGAAGAGCGGAGTCAGCTTAAGCGCAAGCTGACAAGAAGTCTACGCAATGATCGTGAACAGTGGTGGGTAGCGAAAGCAAGAGAGATGGAAAAGGCAGCGGCAATAGATCAGATATTCACACTATGTCAGGTTCTAGAACACAGACACACATTCAGACGCCCCACAATGGTAGTATTTCTCGACCTTAAGGCAGCATTCGACTCGGTTGATCGTAAGGTTCTATGGCAGTGTTTGTCACTGAAATGTGTACCAAAGAAGTACATTAACCTTGTAAAGGCTCTCTACTCGAACACAACTGGTAGAGTGAGAGCTTATGGCGAACTGTCATCAGAATTGATTGCCTCAAGTGGTGTTCGTCAGGGCTGTCCATTCTCTCCATTTTTGTTCAACTTTGTCGTTGACGTACTTTTAGTAATAACATTTCCTCGTCTAGATTTCCAGGGATTGAACTTCTGCCGGGAGACTCACTTGTTGACCTAAAATATGCCGGTGATATAGTTCTATTTGGTGAAGTCACTGACAAAATGCAGAGTCTTCTGATCACTCTAAGCAACAATACAAGCATGTTCGGCATGCGATTCTCTCCCTCGAAATGCAAAATGTTGCTTCAGGATTGGGTTACATCGACACCTGAACTAGTGATAGGGAGTGAAGTAATTGAGTGTGTCGACCGCTTCACTTACCTTGGAAGTCTGATCAGCCCTTGTGGTCTGGTGTGTGACGAAATCTCAGCACGGATACAGAAGGCTCGACTAGCTTTTGCCAACTTGCGTCATTTATGGCGTAGGTGAGATATCCGTCTATCAACCAAAGGACGTGTTTACTGCGCAGCAGTTCGTCCCGTCCTACTTAGGTGTCTTCGAAACATTGCTCGTATATCCTGGGACCATCGAGTAAGTAATGCAGTTGTTAGGAAACGGGTACTAGGTAAGGATGGCAAATCAATTGATGAAATAGTGAAACTTCACCAGTTGAGATGGCTGGGACACGTGTTGCGTATGCCCAACCACCGACTGCCTCGACGTGCGATGTTCAGTGGTATAGGAGTAGGTTGGAAGAAAGCTAGAGGCGGCCAAACCAAAACATGAAATCACTGACAAGTGGACTGAGTCATATTGGTAGGTGTAGACTACCTGGTTAGGGACCGTGAGATAATAGCAACCGATGGTGAGAGACCCTGAATGACATGGCTCAAAATCATTTGCAATGGCGCAGGTGCATCCACTCTTTGTGTTCTCCCAAATTCTAATCTTCTGAATTCTTCATGTCCCTTTTTTCCTCTTTCTAAATTTATTTCGCTGGATTATACTCCTTGAATAACGTCTTCAAACCCAAATCTTTCCGATTACTGTCTGTACTCTTACCATCTCTACTAGTACGGGGTTTGAATCGACAACTGCATCTCTGTCAGTCAGTCAGTCAGTAACAACGTAGAACTTCGTACGTACGTACATCAGTTCGAGTTGCCACACCACTGCATCTCTGTGCTAAGGTGGTGTGGCAACTCGAACTGATGTACGTACGTATGAAGTTCTACGTTGTTACTGACTGATTAAATAATAGAAGTTAAGTATTGTCGATGATTATTTATTGCCAAAGGACATTCATGATCATTGTTAATTATAGTAGTTATAAAATCAATACATTGAAATCCATTACATTCTCAGAAATGTTAGTATTAGTGACTTATTTTTACCCTCAACATAGTATTAAAGCGATTGAATTATAAAGAGACGGAAAACCATTATTATACAAACCGATTCTGTAAAATAGTCGAGAATACAAGCCTTCCTAAGCCGTTAAACTAAATCCCCATCCTAAGAATGTAAATGCTTATTGCAAATGTAATTTGTATTTTTGAGATTATTTCTAATTTTGATCTATATTTATTCCGTAATCTGTGATTTTAAGACACATTGGATAGAAGCACAGTGTGAACCAGTTATTTTCTCCTTTACAATGTTTTTATTTTAACCCAAATGAAACAAATACATTTTCAAGCTATGATGCTTGATATTGTTTTATTTCAAAATGGCTTTGCTGTGTTGAGTATTGAGGACAAATATTGTGACTTTGGAGGATTGTTAAAAACAAATAAATTATTCCTACTTTCAGAAGTTATGATTTATTTATTGATTACTAACGTTTGCTGAAAACCTCAGAATCCCAGCTATTAAACCCTGACCAGCGTAGTTCCTAAGCGAATGCAAAAAAACTGGTTATTTCAATACTTCTGAGTCCGTACTAATTGTGAGCACAGGTGAAATAAGTGTTATGTCTTAATAAACCAGTGAAAAATGGATAATGTAAGCAATTATGAAAATACCAGTTACTACGTGGTGTGAGCTACTTATATCCACATAAGTGGTATGTTACGATAGTCAAGAATAGAATGTATTCCAGTAGAAGATCGAGGAAAAAAAGAACGGGAGCGGAAAGAAATCGGTATAAAAATGCAGGAACAATAAAATCCAAGACGATGAACTGATATTTGCAAATGAAACAGTCAAGTTTGAGACAATTGCAAACTAGGTATTTACTGTATAGTTCTCAGATTTTAGAAAGATGTTCTGTAATTTCGTGTTCTAATACATTTGATTGTCCCCACTTAGTTTCTTGCTCACTACACTAGTACTGAGTAATACAGATATGCAAACATTGCATAACCGTTGCAGTACATACGTATAAAACTCTAATATACTTGTTAACGTTCGGTACGTTCAAAGTAGGGAGAAATTGTAATTTACTGCCTTAAAAAAAATGTCCTTACTTTTATGATCTCGTTCACTAGTTACTTTTATTGTTGTTTTAAATAGATAAAATGGGCTTACGGAGAAAACTTTCAGGCCAACGCTTGCTACACAGAATCGTTCCTAAGAACATGTTTATCAGAGGTATATTTAAAAAGTAATGAATATTGAAAAACCATCAGATGTCTATTTGAATTCGTAAACTTATTTCAGAGACTGGGAATTTCTAAAACAAAATTTAGAACTCAGCTCCCGAAGGTGTTTAATTGTGTTAATTTTGTCTTGTACCGTTGTTGTATGGGAACTTGCTATGCATATATGTGCTAGGTTCTACGTTGCTTATGTTTGACTGAACGGTAGTTCATTGAAAAAGGACATGTATTAGACAACTATATATGGTCGCTTTCCCCATCTATTCAATTATCATTCTTTCTGGGGACTATTAATGTAGTAGAGTCAGTCAGCTTCGTCATACATTTCCGTAATCAGAACCATCATCTTAACCGTTTCCCGCATATAAGGTTTAGCAGCAACGCAGTACATTACTTACATTGGACTTACCTATGCTACTCAATATTTGGTAGTGAATTAGGCCCATCTGTATATGTAGATATTTTGTAGTTAGACTCTACATATGATGAAATAGACCCAAAAACTTTGTTTAGCATTAATGAGTTTGTAGGTATCATTATCAAGGTTTGATTTGATAATTTCGAATAAATTGAGCATTGGATAGATTGTTATAAATAAATAATATATTCGTAATATCCCAATGAGTAGAAAAACTAGATTTTCTGACGTTTCGTGACTTTGTGTAAGCCACTTATTCAGAGGATAAATAATTAAATTTGGTTTACACTAAGTCACGAAACGTCAGAAAATCTAATTTTGCTACTTATTGGGATATTACTAATATATTAATTTATTTGTTCAGCATGTTAATTCGTATAAAATCTTTATTCATGAAAGTAAATAAGATGCGTTACTTAATCGATATACTACTCGTTTCTTTGAATATTCTCTTCGAGATAATCACATATAACACTCCCGAAATTCATTCAATACCTTACGCGTGTAATCGAATAAAGAAGTTGTTTTCTGCCAAATTCTTGTTAGTTTGCTTAGCAGCAACCAAAGGCAAGTGCAAACAAACAAGGATTTTGCCATATAGTCATTCAAACCATTTCCATCTGTGCGTAAGACACATACGTGCTGTATTTGAGGCTGCATTTTCCTTGTTGAATCCAAACAATATTGTAACTGATCACTCAAACTTAGGACAGTTAAGCAAATTTGTCTAAATTATTGTACTCTAAATATCTTAGAAAGCCAAATTTTAATATAGTGAATATTTTCCTGTTTATCAATATACACATGTAGTATTTACTGTTGGACAATTAACTATATTGTACACTATTCAACTAGCACATTTTACCACAAGATGATTGAGTATCCAAACTGGTTATTAAGTTTAAGAGATAGATGAAATACCTGTTAGTTAACTATTTACTTAAGTACTTTTAATTGTTACTTGTAGTTCGGTGACGTGATAGCTTTCGTCATTGGTAAACGTGGCAGTGCCATTGCTGAGTTTTCCACCTATAATGAAGCAGTAAGTTGAGTTTTAACGAAGTTTATTCATATTTGTTATTACGCTAAAAATGGGATTGTTGTGTTATGACTAAGTGACTCGATCACCCTGTTATACACTTAATAATTGGTTCCTGTGTTCAAAGACATTGTGCCTTGATCGACCCGATAATAAAGTACTACAATTACTTCGCCTGTAGCTCTTTTAGGGTTACTGCCGATCTCAAGCCCGAATAAAAATGGAGGGTTGGTTATGGGGTTAGCAACCCCATCCAGTAGAAAACAATCTTGCTAAAATACTAACCTGCAAAATAATTTAAACCATTTAGACTTTGTCCTCCGAGTCGAAGGATGTTCATTCAGAAAAACTATGGCCCCTAACAGTGAAAGCCGGGAATCCTCGACAGTCACGAAGACGATGCCCCTCCTAACAACCGCAGTGACAATTTATGTAAATACGTGGAAGCTCCGGACAATGTGAGAGGTCGGGAGGACCCGTCAAATAGTTACGGAAATGAAATGGTAGAAATTGGCCGTGCTCGGAATAATTGAAACCCATTGGAGCCAAGCTGGACAGAGATTAGATTCGAGAGAGATGCTGTTGTGCTCTGATCATAAGGATAAAAATGCTCAGCACACTCAGGGAGCTGCACTGATGCTGTCCAAAGAAGCACATAAAGCACTTATAGGATGGACATCTCATGGATTGAGGATCATCAAATCACCCTTAACGACAAAGAAGGAGGAAATCACAATGAATGTTATCCAATGCTGTGCAATCACCAATGATAGCAACGAAGGTGATAAATGAGATGCTGAAATCAATCATATAGAAGTATCCTGATGGGAGACCTAAACGCCAAAGTCGGAATGGACAACACCGGATATGAAGATAACATGGGATGACATGAACTGGAAGAAAAGAATGAGAATGGTGAGTAGTTGGCAAATTTACGTGCATTCAACGAAATGGCTATAGGTGGCACAATATTCCCCCACAAACACACACACACACAGAGCTACATGAGTTTTACCAGTCCATACTACAGAAAACCAGATCGACCACATTTACATGATTAAAAAATTCAAAAGATCCTTGAAGAACAAAAGAATAAACAGAAGAGCTGACATAGTTTCAGATCATCATCTGGTTGTAGTCATGATAAAAACGAAGCTAAAAATAGACTGATCAACTCGAGGAAAAGCATTACATCCCATCTTCAAAATTCGTGTATGGAGGACAGCTAACAGACTCATTCCAAGTAAGGACCGAAGTCAGACAAGGCTGTTTACTCTCCCCTTTCTCTTCTGGTAGTTGACTGGATTATAGAGACTTTCACACCTGAGGGGAAGCACGGAATACGATGGACAGCTTGTATGCAATTAGACGATTTGGACTTCGAAGATGACCTGGCTCTTCTATCCCATACACGGCAACAATTGCAGGTGAAGACAGCCAGTGTAGCAGTAGCCTCTGCAACAGTAGGCTTCAACATACAGAAGGAAAAAAGCAAGATCCTCAAATACAACATGAAGAACACCAACCCAATCACATTTGATGGTAAAACTCTGGAAGAGGTGGGAACGTTCAGGTACCTGGACAGCATCACAGATGAACAAGGAGGATGTGATTCAGATGTAAAGAAGAGGGTCAAGATAGCAAGGGTCGCACTCCTACAGTTGAAGAATATATAGAACTAAAAACAATTGCCAACCAATATCAAAGTCAGAATCTCCAATACGGACGTCAGAACAGTTCCACTATACGGAGATGAAACTCGGAGAACTAATACGACCATAAACAAAAAAGTGCAAGTATTTATAGACAGTTTTTTACTCAAGATGCTGAACGTCATTTATTCACGTAAGTTTATTTCACCAATGTAATGTAGGCTAAATCATTCCAATATCACTTACGATTTTAAATTTTGTTTTTCGTCATAGAAAAAAGCAATAAAGGCATCTGAACGTGGGGCAGTTGGTCTTCCAAGTTTACCCCTTCAATTATCATGGTTGTCAATAAGTAACACAAATGTGGTTAGTGATTCAAATAACGTCAAAGATAAACAAGTGGAAAAAGATAAATTCATATATGAACCAACTCCAAATAATAAGGTATGGTCGATTTCAATCACGCTTTATTTGTAGTAAGATTTCATGTTACACTTGTCTCTGTTATTCATATTCACAAAATGCATCAATATATTGAGCACATTAAGCATCCAGTCAATTATGCCGGTTTATACTAGTGTAGAAATGTTTTGTAATTAACAAGCAACAGAATAACAACCACATCGAAAGGCACAATAGTAAAGTAACTAGTAGTAATAGAAAACTATGCTTTGAATTGCGAATCAATAAAGAACAAAAATAAGAAGCATGTAGAATTCATATGTTGTAGGTTGTATGCGGAAATGGAATATTTCCATAGGAAATCTAACGACACTATTTTGAATAAATAGATTTCATTAAGTGACGTAAATAGATAATAACGTTCATAAGTTAAAATAGTATTGGTACGTATATTGAAATCGTTGCACGCATTTTGAGTAGTTTAATACAGTCGCCAGTCTAAAGTAAAACTTAAAGGGATCTTCTAGTATTATACATAGATAAAGTGCAAAATATTTTAAACTGATGAGTTCTTCCAATGTATTCATTCAGTTATATGCTGATGAAATACAATCTAGTAAACGCATCGAATCATTGGTCGTCTTTTGAAGTATGCAATGTTAGGTTGATTGTATTGTCTGTTTGTTTACTTACTGACATCTAACCATAGCAAGTAAGCGACTTAAATAGAGGTAGTGTGTGTAAAAATCATTAATAGTATGGTAAAGGGTGTCGTGAGAGAATGCTAAAGGAGAATTATGCTACGAGCTATTTAGCTGATCAGGGTTTCTATCCCTGTAGATTTAGTAGGTCTTTCTTCTCAATATCCGAAAACAGTCGTACAACTGTAAGTTCTTCAATTAATATTTCTGATGTTTAGTTGTTCTTTGCACAAATCAATGGAGTGTATTAAAATCCGACAGTTTGATGTATTCAGTTTCAAAGTGATCAATATTCTAGTCGTTGTGAATTAAAATATCACAATCCTGATTTTCACTAAATTTGTCAATCTGTTACGCCAGCAACGCAAATAAGTTACCATAAATGTCAGATTCTCTGGACATATATCTTTCTAAATGATTTTTGTTCTGTAATACCAGATAAATTTTCCCAGTGTAAATCTGTTACTGAGTAGGTAAGGTACTAGTTACTTGTTATAAAATTGCATCTAGCTTTCATGACCAATCATTAAAACATGTGCGACGAAGTCTGTTAAGATAAATGTAGAGCAACAGAAGGAAAAATATTTAGTCGTCACAAACGTTCTAGTTAAGTATTACAATCCGTCATGGTACTTTTCTGGAGGTCCTAGTGAGGTAACGTTTGCGACAATTAGTATTCACAGTCCAACACTGACAGTTTGTTTAGCATAAATATTTCAATGATCCCGTTAGCTTACAAAAACTATTATTAAGGTACTTAAAAGTAATTTAGTTTTTGTTTCTTAAATGCAATATGAAGGTAGTTTTTCATGGGTAAAACAGTAAATTACAAGACATAATACTCATTTTCTAGAATTTGTCAATATATATCGTTAACTTTGAACCCCAGTTCAAATGCACTATGAAACATCCGTTTTCTTAGAATTACAAGCACACTCCGCTGCCGAGTATCAATTAGTACGACGCCTAGGTTTAGAGTTTCTTGCCAGCTAAATTAAAGCCATCTAATATTAAGACAGCTCATACAGCGTTTAGTTGCTAAGACTAGTGCCCAAATTAATATTCGATTGACAGAATACGATTATCACTACTCAGTGAACAGTTAATGTACGGTTGTTTGTAAAAAAAGACAAGTGCACTTACATAAGTTCCCATACTAACCTATATATCGTATATATTTTTTATCTATTTTAAGTCTAACTTTGAAACATTCGAACAAGACATCTTATCTCGTATGGCAAGCTTTGGACAATAAAACTTGAAAAGACTATGTATAGGAAAAGAATCCGTCAGTAAGAATGTACAAAATGCTGCTTTTTTATTGTGAATATACATGAAACCAAATTCAATAATTTTTCCTGCTGTACATAGAAATCCACAATAAAAATTATTTGAATTCGCCGTTTTTTCTGAATATAATAAATTAGTCTGGTATGTGAGTCAACAGATGATCGCTTATGGACTGAAAAAATATAAAAAGTGTTTTCAGTTATGGAAGATGCATACTACTGATAAGAATTACTCTTAAGTAGTAATCTTTAGTCTAATTTATACAAATAAATTGCAAATTCAGTTTGTTAGAGTGTATCATGTATCGATTATTCTATTCTAAAAATTCTTAAGTAATGAATAAATACAAAACAAGCTGTAGGGCATCCATTTTTACTACTTGAGTATAAGTAAATCTAGTAACACAAAACTGTGGTTATACCAAATTACAATGATACTCGTTTTTATCGGTTTCACAACACATCAAGCGATGAATACCAATAATAATAATTGCTGAAACAGTACAAATCGTTGGTTTTTTCAGCCTTGCTTTTGGCCTATCATCCTAAGATAAACTATATATAAGGGACGATGTAGTACGCCGAAATAGTTTCAAATAATCACTATGAAAAGTTTGAAGTCTACCTAGAAAATGTATTAGATGAATTTATTCATGAAGTGTCTCACTTTGTACCTAGTAGAAATCAAAATATAACATCTTCAATTAAAGTACCAGTGATTTCACAGTGATATAATTAGTGCTGTTAGAGGTATAATTAGTAGGAAACATTTTTCTTCGAATGAGAATAAGCTGTATTCCTTTAAGAGCTACATTCCATGAGGATAGCAACAGTCAATATATCTATCTGGGGATGACTAGACTGATGAAAACTGACAGCACTGTCGTTGTATCGAAACGACTATGATTCGAATTCGTAACTGTGTGACCGATTCATGGATTGAGGTTATAATTTATAAATGCAACTTGTATATTACAGTTTAACTTGCCTTCATAGTTTGTGTTTCAGTGAATCGAACCCTGCAACGACCCGAACTCCATCCACACATTACTGTTTTATTACTTTCAAATTTAAGGTGTTCCTTAAGCACATGATTAATAAGGTCACGACGATCCATGAAGCCGATACCACAGTTTTCTCCATATTTTCTTCCGTACTGGAAATAGTTTTAAAAAAGTAAACGTATGAGTTTATGCTACATAAACGAAATTGGTCAGATTTCACAAATAAAATATTCAGAAAAGAAAGAATTCAAATGTATGAACAGAATTTCGGTGATATCAGCGAATAGAACGTATGAGCTTACTCAAAAATCCTGGTTAATGGGTTCGGATAATCTGGAAAGAACAACTCATTCACAGCTTAGTCAAACAAAATCTTAACGCCGTAACTTTGTAAAAGTTGAAATAGTCAACTAATTTCTAAATAGATTCGAGAAGAACTTTTGGAAAGAATAAAACATTTGTGGGCTACTTTTCTAATAAACTTCAAATAACCACTAACCGCCATCAAAGGATAAAAAGCACAGTAGCCAAACTAGGAATTCCTACCTGGTGTTTGTATAGTATGATTTCATGATCAGACATGTGTAACTGTGAGATAGTTGAGCAATTTATCTCGACACAATTAGACCCAAATATAATTTGTTTATGGCTAAACCCAAAGCAATCTTATGCGTTTTAGTTAGTGACTTTTTACTTCAGGAACCTACAGATCCCCACACTAAAGCTACATGGGTTCAAAAACAATTGATGTTTGTTACGTATCCACGACTCCAATACTTACGTTATTTCGCTATTCGTAATATGACAAACCCTGTTGTCTTCTTCATCCTATTTATCCTCAGATGTACTTACCCTATTATCGCATAACTTGGCATATGTGTGATCAGAATATGTGCATGTATTGAGTGATCACATTTCTCAGATGAACTGGGCCTTTTCACAACATTATATAATTATAAAATTGTTGTGCCGGAAAAACAAAACGCTGATCACTTAAACTCAGTTATAACAAATCACTTACTGAGCATAGTTTACGTCAAGTGAATGCAAGAATATCGTATATTATACAGAAGAAAATATCATACTGGAAAAACAATCAAATACTACACTGAATGATCCTCATGTTGAATCAAAACGGAAGTAATCTTGAATAAAACTCATAATGAGTAATTCAATCGAAAATTGACTTTTTTTCCATCATATCAAGCAATAATTAATCTACTGGGTATAACTCGGGTTCGAACAAAAATGTCGGATTATTTTAAATCATAGTATTTCCAGCCATAAACGTGCAGTTATTGATCTATTATCTAAATCACTTGGCCATTATAGGACTGTAAAATACCTATTTATTGCTGGTCAATCGTATACTATGCAGGACAGCAAAAATAATGCGTTTGACTAAGTAGTTATACTATATCGCCACATTAGGAAGTCATTATGGGGGCGAAAACAGCGATGAAATAATAATAATACTAGTAGCAATGAAAGCGAAATGTAAAAAAAACATGAGAAGTAGGAAATAGTATTGAAACTAAGATCTAGAGGAAGTTAAATAATGTATTTCTGCGCGACTACAACCAACTTCAAAATAGATTGTTGAGTCACTATTGATAACGATTATACTACGGACTCGGAACAAGAAGCGTAAAACGCACGATAATTCTTATAACAACATTTGATCACTTTATGAATATCGCCATTCTTAAACTTTTTAAAATCTACCTCCGCAGTAGCATAGCGAACCCAATGCGTCTGTGAAGCATAAAAATTACTTATACAGCAATATCGTTGTTTAGTAAAATAATGAAGATATTTTGTCAAAACTCACCAAACAAACGTAATTTGAAGCTGGTTCATTGACTACGATAACAGTAACAGATCCATCTAAACTACCTGCGATTAGCTAAATACAGTAGAAAAAAAGTATGAGTAAAAGCAAGATGATGCTTACAACAAAGTGACATACCTCCTACATAAATAACTATTTGTTTTAACTAAAGAACACGACCATGTGTCACCATTACAATAAATATTGATGACAAACATGTATATTCTAATGATTAAAAACTGAAGAGTAGGTAGATATCTGTTATCTTCCATACGGAGGTATGACACATCAGTAGGTTAAGATGACAAGTGTAGCATTTTAACAAGCGAATTACATGAACAATTTTTTTTAACAAAATTGTTCGATTTTACAGATTTAGCCACCGATATATAACAATAATTTTATGTAAACCATTAACTACATCTGATTTGGAGTACACTCAAAGTTTGAAAGTTGCTAATAATAAGAGATTGCTAAAACCAAAGTAAGTTTGGGGGATCTTGAAGTCAGTGACTGAAAGTTAAGCGATTCAACCAATAAGCATTGCAATCGAAATAAAAAGCATGTAGATTTCTTACAATTAACTTACAGTGTCTCCCACAGATGCAAGTGAAGTAACTGCTCCTCGAGTAGATATGAAGTAGACTTTTACTGGTCGTGTAACAGGCAATCCATTTGACTATAAATGAAATTGAGAATACAAGAAAAAAGGCATAAAGTTAAAGGAATTACCAAATTGACGGAAAATGTTTTTGCTTCATTTATAACCAATACATTTTGTGTATATTTCATCTTATTCCATCTACCAGTATTCCAAAAATACCACTTCACTTCTATCTGCTAACTTTTGGTGATGTACAACCTTAGAATGGAATTTAAAGTTTGCATTGCACATCGGAATGGCTAACCTTTTCTGTGCTGTACCCATCAGAAACGAAGATGAATAGAGAAATCATGCGACCTATTCCTTATAAAAACAAAAACTAGACTCCACATTCTTAGTTAATAAAAATTAACGGAAATACACTTTCTAACACATAATCTTGAATATTAACAGCTGACCCGACCACATCCAGATATTTTTGTGGATAAAGTGTACTTTCAGCGTGTTCTGTGGGGTCGACTGAAAACAATAGTAAGTTTGATAGAGTGTATGAGAAGTACGTATGCTTTTCATATTGTTTCGAAATTTATTCTGCTTCTCGGTACCCCTAATTTTTGCTGTTGAATAGATTTCTGATTATAAAGAAGTAGAAATGGCTAGGCATATAAGCTTTGAAATATTAAATTAAAATAACACGCCAGTTATTAAAAAAATCAATCTTGGGTCTAGTTGAATGATTTTTCAAGACATAAAATATTGCTACTCAGAGAATGAATATACTAGTTCATGACCTTAATAAGTGGTGGCATCATATGGAAAGGTAGATCAAATATTTATACAACTGTTCACGTACAACTTATACCGTCCACCTCTGTCATACCATATTTGTAATTCATACTGAGCGAATGGTTAATAACATTTGATAAGTAAATCATAGGATAAAGACCGTGACGAAGTAACAGTGACTTCTATGAGATACAATATTGTGCTATGCTGTCAGCATACGGTGAGTTACAAATATTATATTGATGCTATTAGTGGATTCCAAGTGGGGGTGGCTGTCACTTCCGGCTGCCCACATCGTGGAAGGATATTTCTTCAGGTATCCAGGAAAGCAAGTAGATTAGTAATCGTAATGTCCTAAGAAGATGACCACAGAACTCAACGGACAACTGTTTGAGGATGGTCAAACACGGCCTTTACAAGGGAAGCTCTTGATAAGTTGGTTCCGTAATTCAAAAGGCCTTGCATCAGCAAACAGGAATCCATGGGGTAATAAGAGGTGTGACATGTTTAGGATCGACCTTTTGCAATTCTTTTATTCCGTTGAGAGAAGGCGGTATCGCTGTAGATGCTGGTTGTCCGGAGGAAACACCTTACTGCCGTCGCACCCCTTTGCATTTAGAAGCAAGAGTTCGCCTTCATACTTTAAGTTGCTGCTTCTAATCTAACTGTTCTCCAATCCATCTTAGTATCATGTTAGGACCTAAAGGAAAATGCGTTCCAGACAATGTAGCTCGGTTGAATAAGCAAGCCTGATCACCAAGTTAAGGTAGCAGCTACAGTCAAGTGCATCCTGAGAAAATCCTCTGCATCGGTTTACGGACCCGAGCAGTACCTTAGCCCAAACAAACCAAATGACGGTCAGGACTGAAAATTAACGTCTCACAAATTATATTTACAATTATTTGATCACATTCGATTATATCTTACATATTATCACTTATCTTTTCCCTTTAATTACAATTTTCGGTATTCCTTTATTTTCAACTCATAAAGCAGGTAGATTATAGTTGAAATCCTGTCCTATCTAAACGTTTTCAAGTGACTGAATGATCGAAAGTTGAATGACACCGACCAATAGGAATTCTGAATCAGCCCTTTTGAAACCATAAATGACATTCAAACTGGCGTCCTTCAACGTCCGCACAATACTGCAGATCTGACAACAGACAGGGTTGGCTATATCTTTAAAAAGTCTTAATATCAATGTCTGTTGTATATCAGAGACCAGTATTCAAGACTAGTGAAATGCTACAAATTCGCTCTCCATCTGTTACTTCGAAAAGCTTGTTTCACTTGCGTTTATCCGGGGATTTGTGGCGTATTTGTCTAGCAACAAGCTTTCATACTCATTTAAGATGAATCTCAGAATTGCAAGGTTAAAATCTAACCTTTTAAAATTAGATTTATGGAAAGGTCGCCTTCTAAAAGACAACAAGACTTAGATCTTACGAATTCAAGAACTAAGATCAATTTCTTTAAAGGTGGAGCAAAAACGTCTTATTTCCAATCAATTAGAACCAGTTTGATTTTACATTAAATAAATTACCAGTTAACCTAGAGGCTCTTGATTAAAGTTGTTTGTAGATAATCAGAGCCCGGGAGATTATCAGAGTATAAGCTATTCACACCCTTTTAAGTCTCGACAGAAGCTTAATAACTTTTATAATATTGTATAAAAGATGTAACTGAATATTGAACGATTGCATAGTCAACTGATTTCAGATAAACTCCACCATAAAGTATCTTTATTACTTGATCAGCTACATTTTTATCGTTCATTATTTTTACAAAATACTGCTGAAATGCTATATAAATGTCCAAGCAATCTTCGTATGCTATAAATGTAGTGATAACTAAAAGTAGTATTGATAGAAGTATTCAGTATCGCGATAAAAAAAATCGCAAAATAGAACAATGAATCATTTTACCGTAAACAAGAAGATGAATAACTAAACACAATCTCGTAGATTATTAATATATTTGCAGTATTCCTAGTAAGAAATCGAAATTCAGAAGTTTCACGATTTCGTGTAAGCTGATCCTGCAGAGAATAAACAAACTTTCGAAATTAACAAGCTTAAACACTTTATAGGGACGAAAGAACTCATGATATTTAGTACGTACACACAATTTTCACTACAGTAATGTCATGTCATGACCTTAAGGGACTATTTCATATTTGGATAGAAAATTTGTTATTGATTCAGTCCAAGGTAGACAAATATTGACAAATTTTTATGTCCATACTAAACTTTAGATTCATGTATACAAAATAGACAATGAATCTTTTCAAATATCTGTGAGAGGGAATTCATCTTTTGCGAGAACTAATTTGTATCAGAATAGTGATACATAAACACATATATATGTAAATAATCAGAGAATACTATAGAATTTTCTGACAATAATGAAAATCTTACAATTGAACCATTCATCTTAAAGAACATAAGACTACTGTGAGCAACCAGACGAAGTACAGATTTTTTACATTACTTCAAAGAAATGTACTAAATATTGGACAATAAAACTCGATATGAAATAAACAAGATAACGCTTTACTCGACTCGATTCATGAGTGAAAATAAGTATTCTAATGCAATTGGAGATTATACCCCATCAACAACAATTTGTTCGTCTAACAGTATGTCATGTAGCAAAAGTGATGAGTTTTACCCCTATAGTTAAGGATACTTCTCAGTTAAAATGGAGTGTAAGATAAATGTAATGGATTTTCTAAAATTATTAATTAATACTTTACAAGTCACTCACTACAAAATTCAGAAAATGTTCTGAAGTTTTTTCAAACTACACATGTTAATCCTTGTTTGTCATGAGGTTTATTTCGAAATCGTATACGGCCATTTACAATAATATTTATTAAATTACCACATTGTGAATTAGAACAACACATATAAGCGAACAATATTGTTTTCAATTAGATCCTCATCAAAATTTACTCTAATATACAATAATATTTTATGCATATACGAAATTATTAGACCAATCAAGGCAGTTTATGAGTCAATGATAACAGTGGAATAGACTACATAACGAAAAATAATAAGTCTCGTGTCTTACACATAGCAGAAGCTATAGGAATTCAAGCTAACAATCCAAGTCTTTGTATCGCGGAATTTGTAATGTTTTGTTAAACAGAAAAGAAAATGATACTATCAGTAGAAGTGTGTATAGGAAAAGTCCTTCAGCAGGCCAGTACATATATTATAACAGAAACCTAGTTAGACATCTTGCAAATGGAGCCAGGAAAATATGCCCAGATAAAACTACAAAGAATTAGAGCTTATTCATAACAGGTTGATTGAGATCGGTTATCCGCAAAGTTTCATGAGGAAACACTAGCATATAATGGACAGGAGAATAGAAACATCAATGGCCAGTAACAAATCTCTTTTTCTGAGGCTGCAATTCAGTGGAGATATAGCTGATGATGTGCTATGAGATAGAAAGAGAAGAACAAAGAAGAAAACGTTTGGCGCAACTAAATTCTATCGTTATCGACCCGACCCATAGTGATTCCTCAACTAAAGGATGTTATCTGGTTCCGCCACAATTATGTTTACCTATGATTTCAGCTGATTCTGTGGAGAAAGCTCAATCAGGCGCACAACCAGACAACTGAGTCAACGAGTTAGTGAACACCTTACTTCATGGTTAGGATTGAGTATCGCCGAAACAATACGCAGCTCTGTTCCATCACACTTGATCGATAGCGGTCATGTAGTTGTAGTGTCGGTTGCTATGTTAGGTCGACATAGTTTGTCCTACCTTCCGGATAAGCGAATTTATTCATCTTTCTTCAGTAACATTTTGATCATGTTAACTATTAGATTACCAATCTTGACTGCTTTTATATCAGCGTATGTGTGCACATCTTATCTTACTCCTCACATGTCTGTAGCTTATGTTTGTCTGACTATAAATATTGATTAACGCTTGATTAAATCTAGTTGGCTCACACACCTTCACCGCGCGTCATTTCGCTTCGTTATCTTCTATTTGTTTCGTTCCTCTGATTGTCTGTCCAGATCAATGAGGGTACAAAATATACGTATTTAAAAATCCATTCTCGTATCTGACTTATAAAATTCCGTTATTCACTAACGCCATTTAAGTCGATAATTTTATACGACGATTGACGATATGTATGTTTCAATAACAATCAACATATGATATAAATGGAGTCAGATCTTGGGCCACTAAATCTAGACAGAAATAGATCATTTACAGTGATTTATCGTATTCCTATTAGTTTTCCATATAGGGTTTGATCTCAACTCTCACACAGCAAAAGCAATAGGAATTCGAGCTAGCAATACAAGTCTTTGTACTTATAAGAAATTTGTAACATCTTAATCTCTTCCCTATTTGAATTAGCCTTAATCAAAGATTTCATTGATTATTATTTTTCATACTATTTGTTCGTTAATTTTCCTTCATCCCCACTTTATTCCTTTTTTAAAAAACATGCTTCATTGTCTAATCATTTGAACACTTCGTATTACGTAATCTTACTTTTTATAAATGTTATTTTAGTCTAAAGTTTTCAAGTTATTGACCAATTTCTCCTTATGAGACATGGTTTCAAACCTTTGTTATTCTTATCACAACTAGTACACATGTCATCACACTTGTACTTATCATGTTTAGTTATGTAATTTATCACTACCTATCTATCTATAATTGACTAAAAAAGTGTCTTGATTGGTCTAGTAATTTTGTATATGCATATAAATATTACCGTATATTGGAGTGAAATTTGATTAGGATCTAAATGAAAACAATATTGTTCGCTTATGTGTGTTGTTCTAATTTTAAAAAATGAACACAGAGTGAAAATAGTTGACTAGGAAAAGTAATCCGCACTTAATACTACATGACTAAGGAAGTCAAGGTTAACTAGTCAAAAAGTTTATTTAACTTTCAAAGTTTGGTGTTGATAGAACAAATAGGAAATACTATTATTTGAGAAGATTTAGTGGCAGGATGAATATATTAAATAAAATGCATTATTAAACTAAATCCATTTTCATCAAATATTTCAACGTACTTGAAATCTGTAAACACGAACTGCGCCTTCTGAATCACCTACAGCAATATAGCGTTGCATTACACAAGAACTAGATATTTTATGAACATGGAAAGTTAATTCGGAAGATCCAGTCTTAACAAATAAAAGAAAAAGAGAGAACAATAAAACAAAAATGGGACAATTCTTGACATTATATATGATTCAACGAACAGGTAGCAATGAAAAACGAAAATTAAATAATAATTTCAGCATAATTTATTAACCAGATACAAGTTTGTGCATTGAACTATCAGCCATACTTTTAATGGTATAATTATTGACAACATCTCATGTCCGGTTCAAAGTAAGTAGAACCGAATTTGAGCCAAATCAGAGTACCTGAAAGTCGACTCCTTTATCTACTAAAACACAGGTTTATTGATTGATGAAACTAAAACTTATATTACGATACTCTGAAATGTATCCCATAAATGAATAGCAAGTTTTGTAATACTAACATTTAGCAATCGTTAACTCATAGTTTTCGCGGTAATGCCCTAACGCCGACAAGAATGCATATAATACTTTAGTATTTTCAAGGCCATTCATAAACCCTATTTGACAATGAGGAAAACTGAGAAGTTTGCGTCATCTAGAAACTTCAAGAGACACTGAAAACTGATCTCATCTTAAAATGTCCTGTAATTGATACTTGAAATAGGCTAAATGGCTCAGTTGTGTATACCTGGCAAATTTCATCATTCACCAGAGTTGATCTAAAAAGTATCAATAAATGAACCATCTAGAATGATCAAATGCTTTTATTTACCACAAAACTAGGTATCAACATTCTCATGTTACCACCCAAGATGTTCAGAAGTTCCTGTATTTAACCAAGGTTTTCATCTACTACAACAATATAATCTCTATATCCTATTGGATTAAATTATCTAAATCTGATAACAATTTTAGAAAAGTTGAACAATTGGAGCTTCTTTTGTAGATATGATACCTATGACAGAGTTGAATAGAAATATTCTAGTAAACAGTCTTCAGAAAGTGTGGCTTAATTGTTTGACGTCTTTGCCGTGGCAAAAAAATAACAAAAACACCAGCAAGAGACAAAATTATTATCACTTTCCGGTTAATAAGTATAGAACAAGATTAGGTTATTAAGTTATATCAAATGAGGTCACTGGAGTATATTCTTACGAGATACTCAATTTTGATTGCAGGTCATGTGAAAAGCTGAATAAAGTCTCACAGTTACAAACTCAGTAGTCTTCGACTTTGTTAGCGGGACATAAGAGAGAATTATAACAGACTCACTTCACTTGTTATAGAAATAATGTTCAAGTCACTGAGGAACTGCGAGTTTAGTAGAGTAACACAAACAACATATTACTACGTGTAGTAAAATTGTTCATTTTTGTTAAACATGCAATTTCTTTGATTAATTTATTGATGTTCCGTCGGGTGAAAATTTTAGTAAACATAATCTTACTGCATCAACTTCTATAATTACCTTCCAATTATAAATGCGAATGGAACGATCAGAATAGGATGAGAAAAATGAGCCTTTGGGTAAACATGATATATCTTGTGGCGGTCCCTTTTGGACAGAACTTTGGATGCAACACACTAATGTACCATCGCTGGCTGAGCGGATAGAAATAGATCGGTCCTAAAATTTGGAATAAAAAAGATAGATAGGATAAGATTAGTTATCTAAAAGGCTACTATTACTATGTAGAGTGACACATTTGAAATTAACTCCCATAATTTGTTTGGGTATACAGAAGTTGGGAAAAAATCACAAGCTACATAGTGTTACGGTAGTAATAAGAATGATAACTTATGATTCTAGTGATTCCAGACGTAAGAAGTTCTTACCTCCAAAAATAAAATACACAATCCCACCAAGCCGTTCATTCAAATTAATATTCATTTAACTTACACAGAAGAAATGAAATGAATAATTACAGAGGATTTAGTCAAATTTGTAAAAGAAAACTTACTAAACCAGCAACAATTAATAGTAAAGAGGTTCCTGATTGAACAAGACACAGTGAAGTGATACCAGCCGATTCATTTGAGTCCGAAGTTTGTGCTTGCTGTTTTAAGCAATTTTTCGCTTTATCACTTGCAAAATCAGATTGGTAGCAATCAGTTGTGTGTCGGCATAGAAAACCGATTGCATGCGTCCCAGGATTATAACGCAATATGTCACCATTAAAGAGGCCCAAAAATATAAATGGAATTTCAGGTGATGGGGCAACTGCTAGTGCCGCGATACGACTAGAAAAAGTATTTTTATGTACCAGCAAACTGGTCTATAGAAAAATAAAGAACAAAATGAAATAGGTAAGGATTATGTGATATCTTCAGTGTCAGTAGCTCATAACTATGAGAAGCATAGAATCGACTTTCGTCACTTTGTCTCGGGGTGCTGATATGGTAAAAATGATGCAATTTTATCGCCAGCTTTGGGATGACTATGACCGACTGAATTGTGTTACAGGTTATCAATAGCAGAGTATAAAATATTGTACAATCTTGACAAAAGTGAAAAACGTCAGTCTATTTTTAATTCGACAAAATGCCATTTGATTGTTGAACATAACAATTCAGCATCTCTCTCGCAAACTAAATAAAGCATTGTTAATGGTCCATTCAAAGGTCAAACAAGGCATTATTTTAATAGATGTTCTACTTAATATATGATTTTATGTTATTACAGAAGTCACAGAAATCAAATGTTACTTCCTCTCAAAATACAAGTACGGACAGAGAAATGTAGCTTATATTCATTTGTTGTTTATATCCCGGCGAAAAAAAGTAAATGAATATTCTCGAAGTACTTCTCAAGATATAATTGTAACCAGATGTCAGACTAGAATGAAAAACATATACAGTTCAATAAAACAACAACATAGAAAAATGAAGACTGTATATTTTAATCATATTTTCCATAGCAAAGGTAGAGAGCTAAATAATCATGATAATTTGTGTCTATCTTACAAGAAAAAGAGAAAACAAGAAAACCAACATAAAGAATTCTTCATGGAGAAATAAATAAAAACGACTAACCTGTAAGTTGTATTCACCAAAATAATGGTCATAATAGCCAACATAAATGGATTCACCATTAGGATCTAAGCACAATTTCGTAATGCTAGCATCTCTAGGTGGGAGTTTAGATATACAGTGGTGAGTCTGTAAAGTAAGAAATTAAAATATTAACTATAAAAGTGATATAACATTAGTACAGTCAAAGTCTTAGAAATTTAATTAGGTTGAAAAAAAACTGAAATTTGTGTTGAGGCATAAACAGTAATGATAGTTTAACGGGAATATTTAAGTTAGTTGAAGAGCTGATAACATTGAATCGATAGACTGACCCAATGCATTCCATAATATCAATCAATAAAGTGGAAAACTGAAACTCTTACATTAAAAACTGATCTAATTAGTAATTTCTTATTTTATTGAAAAGAAATACAAAAATCAAAAGAGGAAGTGATGTGATGCATGCGTTATGTATCATGTGCCAAAATAAGAGATAAGAATAATAAATTAAACAGTGTCGCCTTCAATATCTATAATAAGTGACATTAATGTTATTACTGAAGGAATATCTATTTTATTGATGTTTATTCACTACTAAAGTCCACCAGGTAGTATTTCAAAACTTCGAGTTAGTTTATTTATTTTGGCACATAAATATTGGTACAAGGGGATGCTAAATACATATGTGCCACACAACAACAATCAGGTTGTGAAGAGATAGAGAATGTAAAGTGCGCATAGGAAAAAGAACAACAACAACGAATGGGAATTAGTGTATGAGGTGGAAATCATAATAACGGGAGAGGCAGTCCAGTTAGCAAAAGTACAACCAGAAAGAATTCTTCCAGTCGAAGTCACGTTCATTTTGTATGAAGTAACAAGAAGTTACAGCAGGATCGCCACTGGCTTCTATTCTGATCCATGTCTGATAACGTCTTAAGTCACTGTGCCGCACCATCTCTAGGAACCCCAAACAGGGAGTCATGAAGGACCAGCAGAAGCCAGTCCTATACAGCTTTCTTTTATACCATGTCATCCAATGACCACCCCGCTTATTCCAACAGGTTTCAGAGTCGGCAAATAATGCACGACGTGGAATTCGCTGGGACGACATTCATAGGACACGCCCGAGCCGTCGATGTCGTTGTTTCAAGAAGGTGACACCAATTGAATTACTGTCGCTGTGTCCCGGACTGGCGTTGCCGAACCTATGCATTAACATGGTGTTGCCACTGAACAATGAACAAGCACAGATGGTCGTCTAACATCCTCAACTCGAAAAGACCAGGTTTCACAAGCATATAGCAAAACTGCTCTCACTGACGCGTTGTAGATCCCACCTTTTACAGTCCGACGAACATCAGAAAAGCGCCAAATATGGCCCAGAGTGGCATAAACCGATCTGGCTTTCACTACCAAGCTACTCAGAAACACGAACTTCTCGACTACTTCTATCTGCTAACTACCCAGGGTGAGTGCAGGATCAGGGTCCTGCCAGTTTTGTAAAAGTACTTTGCACTTAGAAGCTGCAAAGCACTTACGGTACCTACGGACAGTAATTGCAGACTGAATAAGTGCGGATTTCCTGACTTATATATCGTAGCACAGAAGGACAATATTACCCGCATACTCAGGGTCAAGAAGTCTTTCCCCAGGCAACAGATCAATATCATCACTACCTACATCCATCAGAGCTGTTTTCATAACGTCATCGATAGTGAAGTTGAAGAGGGATTGTGAGATTGTGCAATCCTGCTTAACCACATTGCTTGAATGCAACAATGGGGAGAGGTAGTTGTATGGTCTCACTCTACCTGAAGTGTCTGTATATCGGGTTTTTAAGATGCTAGGAAACTTTTCAGGCACACCGTTCTTCAATAGACCATCCCAGAGAACAGTTCTGTCCAATGAATTGAAGGCGATCATAATGTAGAGAAAAATTACAATTGTTGGGTTGTGATAAGTATGACGGTTTTCTAACACTTGGCGGAGAGTGAAGATATGATCAATACATTTTTGATCAGAACGAAAACCAGTCCGCTCCTTGCAAGCCAATATTTTTCGGATTTTGAACAATCTACGAAGAATGACGAAAGCCAATATTTTGGACGTGATCAGAAGAAGACTTATCCCCCGACAGTTGTTGCAGAAACGACGTGAACCCTTCGTAAATATAAGGACGACTATTGACTCATTCCACAATTTTGGAACACTATCTAATAGCCAGACCTTTGTAAACAACTCAGTCAGTTTCTTAACCAGAAAGTCACCACCACCTTTAAAAAAGATCGGACGTAGGTCATCTGGGCCTGGTGATTTGTGAGACTTCAAGAGTTGGAGTTCCTTGAAGACTTCCGCGTCAGTGACTCAGATGAGTTACTAGATGCAGCTGCTGCTTCCAAGTCGTTGACACGCTCCGACTGTGGTGCGTGCTACTTATATTGATATAAGTAGTATATAATGCGAGCTAAAGAACGTAATGTCTGGCAGCAGAAGATGGGGAAAGACCAAGAAAGGAAGAACGAGAACACAATGGAATTTGTAAGAAACCGTATGAACAATGAAATGTGAGACAATGGATTGATGTCTGCAACGGCAACAGTCCGGTTTGATATGATGGAATGATATTTTGCAAATTAACGATTTACTATTTGGTTTTTCTATTTTAAGCATAAGGAGAGACATCGGCTAGTATGAAGACCTCCTACACCAAACCAACGATGGACTCAAATAGACCATATTGCCATCAGTCATCGTTGGAGAGGGTCGGTACAAGATTATCGCTCATTCTGAAGTAACTGCTTGGACCCTGACAAGCCCTAATACGTGCATGCATCTGCTTGCGCCTCACTGGACGCAAAAAAGCCACAGTAAAAAGACTCGTTAGAACTGAATTGAGTAGCGAGAAAACTAAAAGTAGGTTCCAGGAACAACTGAGGTCACACTTAGGTAGTTCTGAAAACGAGGCTGACCCAGATGTTGCTTGGAAAAATATACAAACAGCTGTGGAAACAGCAGTGGAATCTGTAAGTGATTTGAACCACAGAGTTACAAGGAATCAATGGGTTTCTTCAAAGTCTATCACACTGATAGATTCTCGCAAACTCATCCCATCAGGCTCTGAACACGATGAAGAGCGACAACAAATTAGATCTAGGTTAAGAAAAAGTCTAAGAAACGACCGTGAGCAGTGGCGGGCAACGAAAGCAAAAGAGATGGAAAAGGCAGCGACTATAGGGAACACAAGACAGCTTTACAGACTAATAAAAGAAGCTGGGATTAATAAGTCAAGTGTAAGTCAGACTATTTCGGAAGAAGACGACACCCTCATCTGCTCTCAGTCCAGACGTTTAGAACGATGGGCAGAACATTTCAGAGAACAGTTCAACTGGCCTTCAGCTGCTCTACAACTACCCTCCATTCCCAGACAGTGTGAATGAAACATTGAAGTAGGTCCCCCAACTCTTGCTGAAGTTCAAAAGGCTATAGTTAATCTGAAACGAGGAAGGGCTGCTGGTCCAGATGGATTGGCTCCAGAGGTCTTTAAGGATGGTGGTTCAATTTTAGCGATTAGGTTGACTAATATTTTAGCTAGGATCTGGGAGTTAGACGTTATTCCAACTCACTGGTCACAATCACTTATCGTCCCAATATATAAGAGAGGGTTAAAATCATCCTGTGACAACCATAGAGGGATTAGTTTAACTAATGTAGTATCTAAAATACTAGCCTTGATATTTATCGGACTCCTAACTAAGACTCATGAACTGCAAACACGAGAGAATCAAGCTGGCTTCAGACCTGGTCGTGGCTGCATCGATCACATATTCACCATTCGTCAGGTTCCAGAACACAGGCATACTTATCGGCGTCCGACAATGGTGGTCTTTCTTGACTCAAAAGCAGCATTTGGCTCTGTAGACCGCGAAATTCTGTGGCAGTGTTTGTCATTGAAAGGCGTACCTCAAAAGTACATAAACATTGTGAAGGCTCTTTACTCGAACACTACTAGTGGAGTGAGAGCTTATGGCGAACTGTCATCCGATTTTACAATTTCAAGTGGTGTCCATCAAGGCTGTCCACTTTCTCCTTTTTTTAACTTCATCATAGACCTACTGATGGAAATAACTTTCTCGTCGACTGAATTTTCGGGCATTGATCTCCTACTAGGAGGTACAGTTATTGACTTAGAATACGCAGATGACACTGTCCTCTTTGTTGAAGACGCTAAAAAATACAGTGTTTTGGTAGCACTAAGCAACAATGCCAGAATGTTTGGAATGCGCTTCTCTCCCTCTAAATGCAAGTTGTTGCTTCAGGACTGGCTTGCATCAACACCTGAACTAAGGATAGGGAGTGAAGTAGTTAAACGCGTTGACAACTTCACTTATCTTGGAAGTCTGATCAGCCCTAATGGGTTGGTGTCTGACGAAATCTCAGCACGGATTCGAAAAGCTCGTTTGGCTTTTGCCAACTTACGTCACCAATGGCGAAGGCGAGATATCCGTCTATCAATAAAAGGACGAGTATACTGCACGGCAGTCCGTTCTGTTTTAATTTACGGCAGCGAAACATGGCCATTAAGAGTAGAAGACCCTCGTAAGCTACTAGTATTTGACCACAGATGCCTTAGAAATATTGCTGGCGTCTGCTGGGATCACCGGGTAAGTAATAGTGAGGTTAGACGCAGGGTATTAGGGAATGATGGTAAATCAGTTGATGAGGTTGTGAATCTTCATCGACTGAGATGGTTGGGCCACGTGTTACGTATGCCCGAACACCGACTACCACGACGTGCTCTGCTAACCGGCGTTCAGGATGGTTGGAAGAAAGTTAGGGGCGGCCAAACCAAAACATGGCATCAGTGCTTGAAGTCACTAACTTCTAGTCTGAGCCATGTTGGTAGATGCAGACTACTTGGTTGGAGTCCGCGTGACTGTCGTAACCAATGGTTGGAGACTCTTGGTGACATGGCTCAGAATCGATCACAATGGCGTCGGTGTATACACTCTCTATCTTCCCTTAAACTAAGAGATTAAAATTGCTTCATATCTTTCTTTCTACGAACTAATTCTTTCTTCCTGTACTATATCCTTATTGCAGTCTTTCTTTTATATATTACCACCTCTGAATTAACTACTACTATGAATCCGGTGTCCATCTTGTTGTGTTAATGAGGTATGGCAAGTTGGACCGATGCATAAATGTGCCTGGTCCTACGTTGTAGCTGACTGACATTGATATTAAGACTTTTTAAAGATTTAGCCAACCCTATCTGTTGTCAGATCTGCAGTATTGTGCGGACGTTGAAGGAGGCCAATTTGAATCAGTCGGTCAGCTACAACGTAGGATCAGGCATATATATTGATTGGTCCGGGTTACCACGCCTTATTAGCACAAGATGAACACCAAATTCATAGTAGTTAATTCAATGGTAGTAATATTTAAAAAAAGAGTGTATATAATGATATGATACAGGCAGAAAGAATTAGTTCGTAGAAAAAAGGTATAAAGCAATTTTAATCTCACGGTTTAAGGGAAGACACAGAGTGTATACACCGACGGCATTGTGGTCGATTCCGATCCATGTCACCCAGAGTTTCTAAATACTGGTTATGATAGTCGCGCGGACGGATATCTCGCCTTCGCCATTGGTGACGTAAGTTGGCAAAAGCCAAACGAGCTTTCTGAATCCGTGCTGAGATTTCGTCAGACATCAACCCATTAGGGCTGATCAGACTTCCAAGATAAGTTAAGTTGTCAACACGTTCGACTACTTCACTCCCTATCCGATCAGTTTGAATGGTGTACGTGGTTTCAGTATTCGTATTCGGTGGCAGCATTCAACTTTCGACCAGTCAGTGACTCGAGATTGTTAAGATAGGACAGGGTTTCCACCATAGGCCGACTGCTATATAAGTTGAAAAATATGAATACACAAAGTGAGAATGTAAAAGAGTAGATAAGTGACGTAGTATACAAAAAATATAAATGAATGTTATTGAAGCAAGAATAATATTTTCCATATTAATCATCATCCGATTTGTGTGTGGGTTGTGATACTACCCGGGTGCCCAAACCGAAACAGGTGGTTTCCTTAGGAGGCCATACCCTGAGCCTATAACGTAGAGGTTTGATTCATAAGGCAGTGGAGCAACGTCAGGAGACGTAATCCCATGGTAGCCGTATCCACCAACCCGGTTAAAGCGCCGGACAATCACTTATCGTCCTCTCAATTGAGTAAACAACACACCTGCCATGAGAATTTACCTGGCAGTGGTTGTATACGCGTGGCCATGTGACAGTATTTCGAGAGAGAGAGAGAACTCTCCCCACCCTCGGTCGTACTAGGGGAATCGGGGAATATATTCTTTATGTAACCAAAAATAATAATGAGATAATATATATGAAAATAAAAGAAATGAAATATATTTTATCACACAGTATATAGCACATCAATATAAGCTAAAACTCGAAATACTCATTAAAGAAATAGGATCAGGTTTAGTTTCATACTTTAAGGTCACATTCGACAATAGTACCGTTCTGTCCTCCAATATAAGCCACATTTGTAACCGGGTTTATAGCCATATCAATCACAGCAGTAGCGCAGCCACCAAAAGCATGAAATTCACCTATTTTAATATTACCCTTATCGGATAATGCGCACGTAGATTTGGATTCCGATTTCAAAAGAGGGTAACTCGTGTCAGTTTCAACTTTAGCTCTAAAAGGAAATGAAATTTTCTTGTCATTACACGCTTTTTCATGACTACCGTCATCATCATCAGATGATGATGATGACGTCGAACAGGAAGAGGAGATATATGATTTATTCACTTGTTTTGGAGGTGAAATGCGAAGAACAGGGGGTTCGAGTAGTAAGCTTTGAGGACCGGTAGTTTTAGATGAATCGGATGTGACAGTGTGACTTTTTTCACTTGAATCTATTGATTGCTCTTTAATCTTTGCTGTTGGGTAAATGACTGGCTCACCTTTTATTGGTGGAGATGTGATTTTATCTAAAATAAAGAATGAAAAGCAAACATTTTGTTCAGGTCTTTGGGAGAGAGCAAATACACAGAAAGAATTCTTAGTATAATAATAAAGGTATTAGGAATAATTAGTATACCTTCGACTGTCATTGGTAAGTCTGCAGTAGGTCTTGTTTGGAATGGGTGTCCTAACGATCCAACATTTTGATTAACTGCTTTAGTGGAAGCCTTAGCTGCTGCTTGCTTTAACATTTGATCAACTTCATCAAAAGTGAACTGCCAGCTGTTTGGTGACTGAAGAGCTTGACGTATTAAAGCTAGACGCTCTAAATCAACACCATTAGAATTTGAACTGGTAGGTATTGGATTAAATGGATCAGATATTGTTTTTTGTGAAGCTGCAGAGGTATGATTTTGAGGAACACAGGAGGCTGTAGGAACGTTTGAAGTAGTTTCAGGAATTGATGGCGAGGATGTGAAAGCATTTTTAGACTGGTTTAATTCTAATTATTAAAAAGACAGATGAACAGATAGAAGTTTTCGTAACATCGGCATAAAAAAGAATAGATAGCAAACAGATCCCACTTTAACTACTCAATAAAACTCACAAACTTCTTATCTATGTAAAGTTCATACACTGACACATGTTGCTCATATATTGCAAAATAGAAAACCAAAGCTCACCTGGTTGTTGATTGCTTGTTACATCGGACGATAAACTTGAAGGTATACCAATTTGCTGTTTATTTATTGCTTTTGGATTGGGCATAAAATGAGTAGGATGGGATGTTTCAACATCAGGTGTATCCAAAGGAGCTATAGAAGCAACAACTTTTACATGCGATTTTTGAATTGGTAAGGAGACATTTTGTCGTATATCCGTTGGCTCAGAACGAGAAGTGCTCGTGTGACTTTCAATATCAGAGTCCGAATGATTAAGTCCTAGTTTAACGAAAGATGAGAGAAACATTTACTAGAAAAAAAAACTTAACTATGTGGCTATGTAAGTTATTGCAAAAGAAGATAAAAAATGAATACTTGATAAAATAATCGCTAAGTGAATATGATTAAAATAAGACAATCAGGTAGGCATTATGGAATTTAAAATATGACTCAATTGTAAATACACGTCAATCTTATTGTTAGATTTATGAACTAATTGCATGAACAACATACAGCAAGACTGACAACGAATTAAGTAAAAGTTATGGGGAGAAGTTTGCTCAGAAGAAGCATCTGAACGTTAGTAGTTAACATGATAATATAAACTGATGATCGATAGCAAAAGTAATTTGAAACGCTTTACAAATACAAATACTATAATTTTCTTACAAAACACAAGCCATCCGCAACCATTATATTAATGGACACAACACTTATATCTGTAACACAGAAGATGGATTTTGCTTCTGACGTTATAATGTTGCAAACTTACACAATGTATCGATAACATTGATGTTATATCACAGACACTGAACAAAATGAGTGTGATAATTTAAGAACACCTTCATACAATCAAAGCATAGTTGATCAGAAAGAGTAACGTGATTTTTAAACTCAGGATTTAAGGGAAGATAGAGTGGACGTATCTAGGACATTTTGGCCGATTCTGAGCCATGTTACCCAAGGTCTGTAACCACCAGTTAAAATAAAAACGCGGACCCAACCAGTATTCTACATCGACCAACATGGCTCCGATAAGTGGTTTATGACTTCATGGATTTAAACGACCTTTTACCTTTTGTTTTAATTGTCCCCTCAACCTACAACAGAAAACGTAAAACCAGAAAACTAGGGCGAGTAATAGGAAAGTAAGACAATCTGCACTAATATTTCATGCTGAGGGAAGTTTTATCATTTACACAACTGTTAGTTCCAACGAATTCATATCAAAAACCACCAGATCAAATCCACATTTGTCAATACTGTAATACGGAACTGTGATAGGTGGATGGAATATACAACAGAACAATTTGTGATAGATATAAATTTTTGTGATTAGGATACCGAACATCCGTTTCATTTAAGAATCAAACTTATTAAAGTTATATTATGAGCGACAAATAGTTCAGATGGTCATAAACTAAATAAAAGACATCAAGTGAACAAAGATAGAGAAATAACAACAGAGAGCGGTGGCTCAATGAGTAAAGCATTCGACTTTCAGATACTAAGCCACAGGTTCGAACCTAGCTTGACCTAATTGGTATGGGCAAATAAATAGTATCGATAGACTTCACACTTAGAATACCCCGACCGAAGCTGCTACCTTGACGCGGTGGTCGGGCTTGCCTATCGTGATGACCCAACCGAGCTATATTGGTTGGAACATATGTTCCTGTAGGTTCTACCATGCCAGGCAGGTCGATTGGAGAATGGTAAGACTAAAAGCAGCAACTCAAGGTCTCAGGGCGAAGTCATACTGCTGACTGTAGAGGGGTGTGACAGCAGTAAGGTGTTTCACTCGGACAACCAGCATCTGCAGCGATGCTGCTTTCTCACAAGGAAGGAAGGGATTGGAAAAGGTCGACCTTAAAAATGTCACACCTCACCTTACCTCACGGATTTCCGTCTCCGGCGGTAAAGCCCTATGAAGAACGGAGCTAACACGTCAAAAACCTTCCACAAAAAGGCCGTGCGCGACCGGCATCAAGCAGTTGTCCCTTGGGCTCTGCGGTCACGCTCCCAGGTCGTCAAGACCAACACTAATCCAATTTCCTTTACAGGTTCCTCAAGAAATACCCTCCCATGGTGTGGGCAATCGTGAAGTAACACCAGACCTCATACCTGTAACAACACACGAGACCAAGTTGGTCACATTCAAATCCTTCCTACACCTCCTAATACCTCTCTTATCTCCACGACTAACCCTCCTCACGTCCCTTTATCACCTCACCGCCAGGGCAAACGATTCGAGTACGTGGAACACTATTCCTGTCCTCCTGAAACCACGCTCTAAACTACACGTAGGAGCTTTTAACGTCCGAACACTGTGAAAGATAGAACAGCAGGCTTCCTTAGCTAGGACATCAGAATCTCGGGCCATCGGTGTGTGCTGCGTCTCCGAAACGCGCATACAGGATCCGAGTAGCGTCATTCATTTGACCTCAGCATATCAAAATAAAGAACCAACTCAATATACGATTCGTGTATCTGGAAGACCTGATTCTGATTCCCGTGGCCTCGCCGGCGTAGGCATAGCACTGAGTCCTATGCCAAAACTACCTCTCTTAGAGTGGATCCCAGTAGACAGTCGTTTGTGCGCTGTCCGACTAAACGGAACAGTAAGGATCCGGAAAGATAGGGACACTCGTCGTTGCCTCTTCGTCGTCTCTACCTATTCTCCCACAGACTGCAGCTCAAATGATGTAAAAGATAAGTTTTACAGAAAGCTTTCCGACCTTCTCCGAAAAGCTAGGCGCTCTGATGTAGTAATAGTGGCCGGTGACTTTAATGCTCAAGTAGGTAAACTAAGCGATAGGGAAAGACACCTAAGTGGATCTTATGGTGTCGTGGCTCAAAGAACAGATAATGGCGACCGTCTGTTGCAGCTATGCTCAGATAACCGCCTGTTCCTTGCAAATACTAACTTTAAGCATAAGGAAAAACATCTTTTAACACGGCGACCCCCTAATTCGTCCCAACGTTGGACCCAAATAGTTACATCGCTATCAGCCACCGATGGAGGGGCTCGATAGAAGACTGTCGCCCATTCTGGAGCACATGCTTAGATTCAGATCATGCTGTAGTACGAGCGCGTATTTGTCAGCATCTTACTGGACGTAGGAAAGACGCAGCAAGGAAACCTCTTAGGGTCCTACTTAATGATAGTCAAGCTAAGAGTATATTTCAGGCACAACTAGGAAAACAGTTAGGCAGCCATGTATGTGATGCCCACCCCGAGGCAGCATGGAACGTTATCCGAAAAGCTGTGGAAACAGCAGTGATATCTGCTAGTAAGGTAAACCGTAAAGTTAAGGAGAAACACTGGATCTCAGCAGCATCTATCGCACTGATAGATCCTCGGAAACTCATTCCACCTGACTCTGAAAATAATGAAGAGCGGAGTCAGCTTAAGCGCAAGCTGACAAGAAGTCTACGCAATGATCGTGAACAGTGGTGGGTAGCGAAAGCAAGAGAGATGGAAAAGACAGAGGCAATAGATCAGATATTCACACTATGTCAGGTTCTAGAACACAGACACACATTCAGACGCCCCACAATGGTAGTATTTCTCGACCTTAAGGCAGCATTCGACTCGGTTGATCGTAAGGTTCTATGGCAGTGTTTGTCACTGAAAGGTGTACCAAAGAAGTACATTAACCTTGTAAAGGCTCTCTACTCGAACACAACTGGTAGAGTGAGAGCTTATGGAGAACTGTCATCAGAATTGATTGCCTCAAGTGGTGTTCGTCAGGGCTGTCCACTCTCCCCATTCTTGTTCAACTTTGTCGTTGACGAACTTTCAGAGATAACACTTTCCTCATCTAAATTTCCAGGGGTTGAACTTCTACCGGGAGACCTACTTGTTGACCTAAAATATGCCGATGATATAGTTTTATTTGGTGAAGACGCTGACAAAATGTAGAGTCTTCTGACCACTCTAAGCAACAATGCAAGCATGTTCGGCATGCGATTCTCTCCCTCGAAATGCAAAATGTTGCTTCAGGATTGGGTTACATCGACACCTGAACTAGTGATAGGGAGTGAAGTAATTGAGTGTGTCGACCGCTTCACTTACCTTGGAAGTCTGATCAGCCCTTGTGGTCTGGTGTGTGACGAAATCTCAGCACGGATACAGAAGGCTCAACTAGCTTTTGCCAACTTGCGTCATTTATGGCGTAGGTGAGATATCCGTCTATCAACCAAAGGACGTGTTTACTGCGCAGCAGTTCGTTCCGTCCTACTTTATGGCAGTGAAACATGGCCGGTAAGAGTAGAGGATATCCGTAGGTTACTAGTATTTAATCATAGGTGTCTTCGAAATATTGCTCGCATATCCTGGGACCATCGAGTAAGTAATGCAACTCGAACTAATGTACGTACGTACGAAGTTCTACGTTGTTACTGACTGACTGACACTTAGAATATGGCTTGAAGTCAAGTTCACAAATCTGTACTTGGTAAGAATGATAATAAAAAGCGTAAACAAATGTAGGTACGAGAAGATATCCATAACAAGGAAAAATATAAGTAGTACATGTGACAGATATAATCGATTCTTAATTGTCTCTCAACATAACTGACAATCTATTTCCTCCAACTCTATAGGCCGTCACGATTTAGTCTGAACTTAAAAAGACCTTAGAAAAAAGTAGACAACTCCATCATATCACAAAGGTATAATGTAGTAAAATGATCGCTATTCACGAAAATGAATTATTGATTTAAGCCCCTGAATGACCAGAAATCAAAGACAAGATCACTAACTAGATGAATCGCCTTTCAATAAATAAAGTGACGTGCTTATGTACAGAATAAACATGATAAACACCATAAGTTATTGGAGGTAAGTCACTCATTCACCATTTAATTAAGATCGGACTGTTAGGTCTAATCTTTGGGTATCGAATCAGATGTACTTTATTAAGATGATATATAAATTCATGGTACATCGTAGAAGGACTATGCACTAACTGGTAAATAATACATTAATGATGTACTCTAACTAAAACGGCACCGTTATTGCTTTTGCGTGAGCAATTCTTAAAGAAGTGAGACAATCGATAAAAATAAGTATTACTAAGAAACTGTCATTTTGCTTGTTAAAGCATAAAAACGATTGGCTTATTCCACGGAACCAGATATGCGTTTCAATGAATTAGCAATATGTTCATCCTCAAAAAATAAATCCAAAACATACCTCGTAGTAGATTGGATCGTTCCTGTTTCAACTCACGCCTTTTAGTTTTGACCTAGATTAAAATATAAAACCTTGGATTAGGGGCAAGGAAATAGATATAAAAAACAATTGGAATATTGCCATATGTAGTTATTAGCTGACAATCGCTCAAGGCCAGTGAACTTTGAATCACATTCAGACCATAAATTATTGCTGAACTTAGTAACACGACTTATTTTCCACAACACAATAGCCTTCTCGCCACATTGTTTTCTTCTACGATTTCCTTTCATGTTCCATACCGAAACCGAGGGTGAAATTACTGCTGCGCAGTAAACACGTCCTTTGGTTGATAGACGGATATCTCACCTACGCCATAAATGACGCAAGTTGGCAAAAGCTAGTTGAGCCTTCTGTATCCGTGCTGAGATTTCGTCACACACCAGACCACAAGGGCTGATCAGACTTCCAAGGTAAGTGAAGCGGTCGACACACTCAATTACTTCACTCCCTATCACTAGTTCAGGTGTCGATGTAACCCAATCCTGAAGCAACATTTTGCATTTCGAGGGAGAGAATCGCATGCCGAACATGCTTGCATTGTTGCTTAGAGTGGTCAGAAGACTCTACATTTTGTCAGCGTCTTCACCAAATAAAACTATATCATCGGCATATTTTAGGTCAACAAGTAGGTCTCCCGGTAGAAGTTCAACCCCTGGAAATTTAGATGAGGAAAGTGTTATCTCTGAAAGTTCGTCAACGACAAAGTTGAACAAGAATGGGGAGAGTGGACAGCCCTGACGAACACCACTTGAGGCAATCAATTCTGATGACAGTTCTCCATAAGCTCTCACTCTACCAGTTGTGTTCGAGTAGAGAGCCTTTACAAGGTTAATGTACTTCTTTGGTACACCTTTCAGTGACAAACACTGCCATAGAACCTTACGATCAACCGAGTCGAATGCTGCCTTAAGGTCGAGAAATACTACCATTGTGGGGCGTCTGAATGTGTGTCTGTGTTCTAGAACCTGACATAGTGTGAATATCTGATCTATACAACCACATCCAGGTCGAAAACCAGCCTGATTTTCTCTAGTCTGTTCTTCACGAGCTTTGGTTAGGCGTCGAAGTATTATTGAAGCTAACATTTTAGACACTAAATTAGTCAAACTGGTTCCTCTATGATTGTCACAAGAGGACTTTTGTCCCTTCTTATAGACTGACACAATCAGTGATTGAGACCAGTCAGATGGGATTACGTCCAGTTCCCAAATTCTACCTAAGACCTCAGTCAATCTCACTGCTAATACTGGACCACCATCCTTAAAAATTTCAGGAATAGAAGCGTTACAAAAATTAAGTTGTGATGAAACCAATGTAGTGTTAAATCAAAATGAAATGAATATAACATAGGGTTTTACAAAACCTTCGTACATGACAATTAGTGGTCTTTTCATCTGATATCTTGATTAAAGTCAAGATTAGACCATCTTTATATGGGAAAAAATATAATTGACTTAGTAATATCGTCCTTTTTTTAGTAACTTGAATAAAATACCATTATATATAGCGATCAATAAACGTATGAACATAGAGCTAAAAAACAACTTGGATATTACGGGCTGAACCTAGTAAAAGTTACGTTCAAGTTTATCTATTTATTTTCAATTCAAATATAAGCGACGGATTTTTTAGCAGTTATAATTTATAAACAAGTACAATTTTAAATGTTCAGAAGAAACCACGGAAATACTGAAGAGCGATAAATTTATTTAGGTGTGAAATGAAAAAAACATCTCGCATTTATAGTTAGCCTTTCCATAACATAGATAGCCAGTAAACTTTGACCAGAAAATCTCTCCCTAAGAGGATACAATTGAAGTGTGAAAGTAGTTAGATACTAATTTTGAGAAATTCCAAAATATTCTCATATTAAAAGTATTATACACTCGCGTCGTGAAAAATAATAAAACTGAGCGACCAGATAAAAGAGTCTGAGTTCCTCAAAGTACTTTTATCATCTGAATTAAACTCTGAAGATAATAATACTAAATGAAGCGTTGATGTGTTCTGTTTACCTAAAAGCATTTAGAGGAAGAAATATCACATAAGGGAGATAGTTTGTGTGACAATACCTCTGTTGAATTTAATTTTAAGATCCTGTTCACAGTAGAACCGATTACAATTCAGATTTCATTTCTGTGAAGTTATAAAGTCGAGACTCCAACTGCTGAAACAATGGCAATAGGTATTTTATAGTGCAACAGTAGGAGACAGTTGTCCTGTTTTACTACGGAAAAATTAGACAGTTTACACATTATCTGTAAAATAACACAAAAAACACGATTGTACAGAAGCAAATGATCTGGAGCCAGAATGAGATACAAACTGTAGCTAAGATACAAAATAAAAAACTTTTGTAAGATATATGCAACTGACACTCACCAAATTTAACTCAGTTTCAACAGTCTGTAATTTTTCCTCCAGTTCATCTTGTTTGATTTTAAGTGATTGAAGTTCTTGAGAAATTAATAAGGCTTTCTCCATACACTGGAGTTCTCCACATTTCTTTGTGTTTTCGCTTACAGGCTGAATTGTAATTGGTTTTGGAGAAGTTGATGGGCACGTAACTATTTTAGGGTAAACAGGAGAATAATTCTCCCGTTCAGATTTCTTTTTTTTAGGATCACAACGGTTTGAACTAGTAGATTTACTTACTTTACAACGTAGCTCATTAGTTAACCGCTTTGATACACTTTGATGTTTACCTTTAGAGTTAATAATGGTTATCTTTTGAATTTGCTTCTCTTGCTTACGTGTATTTACTGAATCTTTATCAATAGTTTCTAACTGAAACGAGAAAACAGATATGACAAAAATGACCTAAACACAACAAGAATTCAACTTGAATCAGAAATTGTCATTACTTTGTTATAAATATACGCAACGGAAATTATAAGTGAGTGCAGTTGCCACTTAACAATTACACTAAGGAAATTACTTACAATGTTTAGCATCATCCCACCTTCATGACCAGAAGTATTTGAAATTCTTGGTTTCTTAGATAACTGAGTGAAAGAAATATTTCGATTACACTTGTTATGTGATGATTGGAAGGTATCAGATGAACGTTTCCCATTGCGTGTACGAAGACCATTGCTGACTGCGTCAGATTTCTGACCTGATTAAAGGAAAAGTATCGTAGAAATTTAGAAAATTACAGTTTTAAAGAATTAGGTCTTAAAATAGATCTGCAATTGGTTATAATCAAAGTACAACATAGCAAAAATGTTCCTACTGAAGGTCAGGATTTAGGGAAAGAAATTGAATGCTTCTGTTCCACTGAAATCGATTCTGACTAACATCAACTAACATGTGACAGTTCTATATAGTGATGGGAAATAAACTACTTCACGATAAAAGTTAAAATTTGCAGGTGTGTATTTGTACTCATTCTTTTTTGAATTATGACTTGTGTGGAAATAGTGACATTTGAGGCTTTTAAACCGTAGTATGCACTTCGCCAAGGAGATCGTGCTTAGAGCCATCGACCTAAAATCAGAATCGACAAGATGATAGACCTACATCAGATATACCCCTTTTTGAACTAATTCATCATGTACTTAGATCTGAGTCACGCTTCCCGCATGAAAGCTAATGATACTACTCGGTTGCCTAAATTGAAGTAGGTGGGGCCAATTTTTAACCTGGAACATACTGACTGAAGGTTAAGCACACTTACAATTTTTATTTATCTAAACACATAAACATTGTTACAAGGAGGCATCAAATACATGCACCACATAAACCATTCGATTTGTGTGAGTGCTGGAATACTGCCGGGATACCCAAACCGAGACAGGTGGTTTTCTTAAGAGGTCACACCCCGAGCCTTTAACCAAGAGGTCTAATTCATAAGGCAGTGGGGTAACTTAAGAAGATGTAGTCTCATGGTAGCGGATGACCAACAATAGTTTGATATCCTTTTTGTCCCCTCATGATCCTGGAGCCCATGTACACCAATGGTTTGTAAACAGGGTTTTCCGACTCCGCTAAGTGAATCCTCCGAAACTCATAACCATTTCTCTCCGCGGTGACCAGAGAACTGAATGGGTTTTATGCCACTTGTATCTCTAGCATCCTGGAACCAAAGATGATAGCAGTTGACGAAACTGAGGCGCCTATGTGTAACCCAGTTCATAGGCGTCTACTTCACTGCATGATACTGAATAGAGTAGGGGTAGGTTAGAAGAGAATTGGGTGATGCTAAATCAGTACTATATTAGTCCACAAAGCCACTGACTGGTGGTACCAACCGTGAATCCTCGGGCAGAACTAGCTCTCTTAGAGTGGATCCCAGTAGACAGTCGTTTGTGCGCTGTCCGACTAAACGGAACAGTAAGGATCCGGAAAGATAGGGACACTCGTCGTTGCCTCTTCGTCGTCTCTACCTATTCTCCCACAGACTGCAGCTCAAATGATGTAAAAGATAAGTTTTACAGAAAGCTTTCCGACCTTCTCCGAAAAGCTAGGCGCTCTGATGTAGTAATAGTGGCCGGTGACTTTAATGCTCAAGTAGGTAAACTAAGCGATAGGGAAAGACACCTAAGTGGATCTTATGGTGTCGTGGCTCAAAGAACAGATAATGGCGACCGTCTGTTGCAGCTATGCTCAGATAACCGCCTGTTCCTTGCAAATACTAACTTTAAGCATAAGGAAAAACATCTTTTAACACGGCGACCCCCTAATTCGTCCCAACGTTGGACCCAAATAGTTACATCGCTATCAGCCACCGATGGAGGGGCTCGATAGAAGACTGTCGCCCATTCTGGAGCACATGCTTAGATTCAGATCATGCTGTAGTACGAGCGCGTATTTGTCAGCATCTTACTGGACGTAGGAAAGACGCAGCAAGGAAACCTCTTAGGGTCCTACTTAATGATAGTCAAGCTAAGAGTATATTTCAGGCACAACTAGGAAAACAGTTAGGCAGCCATGTATGTGATGCCCACCCCGAGGCAGCATGGAACGTTATCCGAAAAGCTGTGGATTATTTATTATTTATTTATTTGGACACATGAATATTGGTACAGGAGAGCGCCAATATATATGCGCCACACAAAACAATGAAAATTCGAGAGGAATACAAAGAAAGAAAAAAAAAGGTAAGGAGCGCAACAAAAGAAAAGAGAGAACAATAACGAAGAGATTGGTGTAAGGTAATGTGCTAGTAATCAGGGAACGCAAAGGTACAATCGGAAGAAATCTTTTAGGTAAGGGAGACAGAACTACTTTTTATGAAGAAAGTAAAAGAAGGTTACAGCAGGATCGCCACTGGCTTCTATTCTGAGCCATATCTGATAACGTCTCTAGCCACTGTGTCGCACCATCTCTCAGACCCCAACCAGGGAGTCGTGAAGGACCAACACAAGCCAGTCCTTTGCAGCTTTCTTTCATGCCACGACACCATGTCATGCACTGACCACCTCTCCGCTTCTTCCAACCAGTCCCAGAGTCGGCAAATAATGCACGACGTGGAATTCTCTGGGACGACATTCGGAGAACATGTCCAAGCCACCGAAGTCGGTGTTTCAAGATGGTGACACCAATTGAATTATCATCTCTGTGCCCGAACACACGATGCCGAACCTCTGCATTACTGACATGGTGTTGCCACTGAATGTCAGCAATCCTTCGGAGACAGCGATGATCGAACACAGAGAGTCGTCTAACGTCCTCAACTCGGAGAGGCCAGGTTTCACAAGCATAGAGCAAAACTGCTCTCACCGACGCGTTGTAGATCCGACCTTTTACGGCCAGACTAACATCACGAAGGCGCCATAGGTGACCCAGATTGGCATAAGCCGCTCTGGCTTTCACTATTCGTGCATTGATCTCATCACTCACACCCCCACCAGCACTTATACAGCTACCCAGATACACGAACTTCTCAACTACGTCTATCTGCTCACCATCCAGGGTGAGTACAGGATTGGAATCCTGCCAGTCTTGTAGGAGTACTTTGCACTTCGAAGGTGCAAAGCACATACCATACCTACGGACACTGATTGTCAACTGATTAAGTGCGGATTGCATGCCTTGGGCATTATCGCACAGTAAGACAATATCGTCCGCATACTCAAGGTCGAGAAGTCTTTCTCCAGGCAACAGATCCACACCACCATTACTTACATTCATCAGAGCTGTTTCCAGAATGTCATCGATGGCAAAGTTGAAGAGGAATGGTGAGATTGGGCAACCCTGCCTAACCCCACTACTCGAATAGAAAAATGGAGAAAGGTGGTTGTATGCCCTCACTCTGCCTGAGGTGTTTTTATATAGGGCTTTTAGGATGTTAATAAACTTCTCAGGCACACCCTTCTTCAATAGACAATCCCAGAGAACAGTTCTGTCCAACGAATCGAAGGCAGCCCTGATGTCAAGAAACACTACGATTGTTGGCCTTTGATAAGTATGGCGGTGTTCTAACATTTGGCGGAGGGTGAAGATATGATCAATACATCCTCGACCAGAACGAAACCCAGCCTGCTCCTCGCGAGTCAATCTTTCTCGCGTTTTGAACAACCTACGAAGAATTACGGAAGCCAATAGCTTGGACGCAATCGGAAGTAGACTTATCCCCCGATAGTTGTTACAAGAACGACGTGAACCCTTTTTAAAGATAGGGACAACTATCGACTCATTCCATGACGTTGGTACACTCTCTAGTTCCCAAACCTTTGTAAACAACGTCGTCAATTCCTTAGTCAAAAAGTTACCACCATCTTTAAAAAGAGCCGGAGGTAAGTCATCTGGGCCAGGTGATTTGTAACGCTTCAAGAGTTGGAGTTCCTTGCGGACTTCCTCCTCGTTTGGTGGATCAGTCGTCACCGGCCATGGAGGGCAGGACAGTCTGACCGATGTTGCTGGAGCAGCAGACCAGTTGAACTGCCCTTCGAAAAATTCTGCCCACCGTCCAAGACGTCGATGGATGTTAGTGATTGGCATCCCGTCATCCTCGCAGATTGTTTCACTCACACCAGACTTCTTGCTGCCAGTGGCTCGGATGAGCTGGAAGAGCTTCCGGTAATTACCAGATGCAGCTGCTGCTTCCAGCTCATTAGCACGCTTCGACCACCAGGCTTCTCGGTCCTTACGCAAGCTTTGCCCGATTTCCTTACATAACATCCTTCGTTTATGGTCAAACTCACGGTCACCCGGAGTAGACCGACGGGCTTCAATGAGTTGTAAGGAACCAGAAGAAACCCAGTGCTTAAAAGCGGGACGTTTCGCAAACCCACAACTGACTGTTCCCGCCATTTTCATGGCGTCATGCAATTGCAACCAATGCTCATCTATACTTTTCGGTGGAGTGGTAGCTAGCCTAGAGGCTAGCTCGGTTCGATACTTATTTGCAACAGAAGTTGCAACCAGCTTGCTAACATCAATCTTTTGGTGGTGGTCACTTCGTTGGCCACTGAAAAGTAAGGCAAGATTGGCGCAGACCAAGGCATGGTCAGAGTCCAGATAGGTACCCCAAAAGGAGCGGCAGTCTTTTACACAACCACGCCAGCGGTAGCTGATCGCGATGTGATCAATCTGAGTCCAGGCTTGGGATGCAGAGGGAGGACGCCAGGTGGCACATCGGCGATGACTGTGCCGAAAGTTAGTGCTAGCCAGAAACAGGTTGTGGTCTGTGCACAGTTGCAGTAGACGGTCCCCGTTATCTGACCTGCGACCAACGAGTCCCCATCGGCCACCTAAACGACCCTCTTCTGTGCCTAGACGCCCGACCTGAGCATTCAAGTCTCCGGCTAGTACTACAATATCTGTCGAACGCACTTTCTGGAGAAGAACAGATAACTGGTGGTAAAACTCATCCTTGATTGCATCCGGGCTGCAATCTGTCGGGGCATAGGCGGAGATGACTAGAAGACATCGTTTCTCACGCCGATTTCTTCTCACTTTGATGGAACTTTCTAATCTAACAGCACATAACCGACTGTTAATGGGGATCCAATCGACTAGTGCTGCCTCAGCTCTAGCACTTAGTGCGACACCAACGCCTGCAAGACCAGACGAAGATGCCACAGGGTCCCCGGATAATCGCACGTAAAACAAGCTTTTTGAAGTGACAGATGTAGAGCGAATTTGTAGTACTTCGCTAGAGTCTTGAATACGGGTCTCGGATAGACAACAAACATCAATATTAAGACTTTCCAAAGACATAGCCAGCCCTATCTGTTGACCAGCCTGCATAAGTGTGCGAACGTTGAAGGCAGCCAGTTTGAATGGCGCACGTGGTTTCAGAAAAACTGCTTCAGTACTCATATTCGATGGTAACATACAACTTTCAACCGGACAGTGACTCGAGAACGTTTAGATACAGTCGGATTTCCACCAAAGCCGAGCCGCTGTATAAGTATGAAAGAGGGTGAATAATGTGGATAATAATAATAATAATAACGACAATAATAGTAATAATAATAGTATTAATAATGACAATAATATTAATGATAATTATTTGAATCGACTGATTGTTTTTGTTTTTCGGAGCGTTAAAAGTAGTTGCCAAAGACATAGAGTTCATCGTTTGTGTGTGGGCTGTGATACTGCCCGGGTGCCCAAACCGAAGCAGGTGGTTTTCTTAGGGGGCCACTCCCCGAGCCTTTGACCTAAAGGTCTAACCCACAAGGCAGTGGAGCATCGTAAGGAGATGCAATCCCATGGTAGCCGGTGACCAAAGATTGGTTTATACGCCGTTTGTTCCCGCAGGATACTGGAGCCCATGTGCACCATTGGTTTGAGATCCGGTTAAAGCGCCGGACATTCGCTTTTCGTCCTCTCATTTTTGTAAACAACACCCCCGCCACGAGAAGGCAATGAGTAGGACTTCCCTGGCAGAGGCTGTATACGCGCGGCCGTGTGAGAGTATTTCGAGAGGGAGAGCGGACTCACCCCACTCTCGGCCGTACCAGGGCATTCGGGGGTTGTGGAAACAGCAGTGATATCTGCTAGTAAGGTAAACCAAAATGTTAAGGAGCAACACTGGATCTCAGCAGCATCTATCGCACTGATAGATGCTCGGAAACTCATTCCACCTGACTCTGAACATAAGGAAGAGCGGAGTCAGCTTAAGCGCAAGCTGACAAGAAGTCTACGCAATGATCGTGAACAGTGGTGGGTAGCGAAAGCAAGAGAGATGGAAAAGGCAGCGGCAATAGATCAGATATTCACACTATGTCAGGTTCTAGAACACAGACACACATTCAGACGCCCCACAATCGTAGTATTTCTCGACCTTAAGGCTCTCTACTCGAACACAACTGGTAATGTGAGAGCTTATGGAGAACTGTCATCAGAATTGATTGCCTCAAGTGGTGTTCGTCAGGGCTGTCCACTCTCCCCATTCTTGTTCAACTTTGTCGTTGACGAACTTTCAGAGATAACACTTTCCTCATCTAAATTTCCAGGGATTGAACTTCTACCGGGAGACCTACTTGTTGACCTAAAATATGCCGATGATATAGTTTTATTTGGTGAAGACGCTGACAAAATGTAGAGTCTTCTGACCACTCTAAGCAACAATGCAAGCATGTTCGGCATGCGATTCTCTCCCTCGAAATGCAAAATGTTGCTTCAGGATTGGGTTACATCGACACCTGAACTAGTGATAGGGAGTGAAGTAATTGAGTGTGTCGACCGCTTCACTTACCTTGGAAGTCTGATCAGCCCTTGTGGTCTGGTGTGTGACGAAATCTCAGCACGGATACAGAAGGCTCAACTAGCTTTTGCCAACTTGCGTCATTTATGGCGTAGGTGAGATATCCGTCTATCAACCAAAGGACGTGTTTACTGCGCAGCAGTTCGTTCCGTCCTACTTTATGGCAGTGAAACATGGCCGGTAAGAGTAGAGGATATCCGTAGGTTACTAGTATTTAATCATAGGTGTCTTCGAAATATTGCTCGCATATCCTGGGACCATCGAGTAAGTAATGCAGTTGTTAGGAAACGGGTACTAGGTGAGGATGGCAAATCAATTGATGACGTAGTGAAACTTCATCAGTTGAGATGGCTGGGACACGTGTTGCGTATGCCCAAACACCGACTGCCTCGATGTGCGATGTTTTGTTGTATAGGAGTAGATTGGAAGAAAGCTAGGGGCGGCCAGACCAAAACATGGCACAAGTCTATGAAATCACTGACAAGTGGATTGAGTCATATTGGTAGGTGTAGACTACCTGGTTGGGGACCGTGAGATAATAGCAACCGATGGTGAGAGACCCTGAATGACATGGCTCAAAATCATTTGCAATGGCGCAGGTGCATCCACTCTTTGTGTTCTCCCAAATTTTAATCTTCTGAATTCTTCATGTCCCTTTTTTTCTCCTTCCAACTTTATTTCGCTGGATTATACTCCTTGAATAACATCTTCAAACTCTAATTTTTCTGATTACGGCTTATAATTTTACTACATCTAGCCCTACGGGATTCGAATCGACCACTGCATCTCTGTGCAAATGTGGTGTGACAACTCGAACTGATGTACGTACGTACGAAGTCCTACGTTGTTACTGACTGACTGACTGACGAACCGTTTTGGGACTGGGATGATAATCCTAGCCCAATGGTTGGAGGACTGGTGTGGGAATGGAAATATAATCATTTTTATCATTTATATTGAGGTGCGATATTATTTCCAACTTTTGTTGCGCGAACACCGGGCCTGTATTTGAGTGATATTCTATATGCTTGGTCGTTTCTGTTATTACTGATACAACCATTATTCCGACTGCTTTAGTATTCATGTCGATTTTATTTCGCTATGGCGATACGGTGTCCCAACTTATGTCGATGCACATCTGTGCAAAGAATTGTATTGGATGCCCCTGAATGCCCTGGTACGGTCGGGGGTGGGGAGAGTCCGCTCGCCCTCTCGAAATGCTTTCACATGGCCACGCGTATACAACCACTGCCAGAATAGTTCTACTTACTCCCTTCTCATGGCGGGTGTTGTTTACGCAATCGAGAGAACGAAAAGTGAATGTCCGGTGCTTTAATTGAAATCGTGGATACAAAGGATCCACCTAGAGAACTTATAAAACCCTGATTCCAAACCAGTCGTGTACATGGGCTTCAGGATCCTAAGAGAACAAATGGCGTATGAACCAATCGTTGGCCACCGGTAACCATGGGACTGCATCTTCCGACGTTGCTCCGCGGCCTTGTGGATCAGACCCATCGGTCGAAGACTTCGGAAGTGGCCCCCTGGGAAAACCACCCGCTTCGGTTTGGGCACCCTGGCAGTATTATAGCCTAAATACAAATGACTTGTGTGGCCCATATGTATTCTGTTCCCCTTTGTACCAATATTTATTCGTTAAAATAAATAAATTGTATTTGATAGGGTTAAATAAGTACAGCTTTGTTCATTTCCGATATAAGATCAAGGTTTACCGACCTGTCAAGTTGGATAATCTAAATTTACCCAAAATAGATGCTAAATATCTATTCTTACCACCTGACCTCTATGGAAAAGCCGATTTGGATGCAATAAGTACAAATGTACCATGGTATTTTTGGATAAAGCGACTGCGAGACCCTTGGTAAAAATATGGTATAACGGAAAATTTTGTTATCATTTCTAAACATGAGGTATAAACATTACGAAACGTTAAGCAATTATATAATAAAGGTAAAATTAACTAACATAAACAAACCTACATGTTTTAGGTTCGCGGCCAGACTGAAGTGGTTCTTGTAACAACACAGTCTGGGGGCTATAAAATAGCATACAAGCAGTATCAATTAGATAGTCAAAACAAGTTAATTTAAATCTGAGTACATTGATATAGATAACAATGATGCTCAATCGTAAAGAAAACGCGAATTTAAAATTCACTGGGTATTGTTGCAGAATTCCAAACGGCAATCACAAGCGGTTTCGAAGTCGTCGGTTACAAAATAGCTACTAACATTCTAATTCCCTTTACTCACGATATATAAGTCAATTTTGATATTCTTGACCACTGGAAAATGATATTCGAAGTTACTGTGAAGGGGTGTCATTGCTTTTATTATGGCTGGAATAATATAGGTCTTCTAAGTATCTGCTCTCACGTAACAAACGACACTCCAACCCCAAATTTGTAGTATATCCCAGACAACTCATGTAACAGCAACTTCTATCGGGCAAAATCTTTTCAGCCAGGATGGCGCCTAGAACATTATCGTTACAAATAACAGCAATATTTACTGAACCTCATGAGAACATTTTCATGTGAAGCTCAACAAGGCTCAATTCCCGAAGATACACTATTTAGAATTCTAGTAACTGGTCATGTGATTTATTGATGATTGACCCAGTGGCTATGCAAAATACTATCGTAATCATGATATTTGTTGTATGCTCCTAATACTAAGCCACAATCACTCACACTACAGCAAAGTCCCTCCAAACGCCAGTCTCTGTGAGTGAATTTTCCACTACAGTGAGGACATATCTCATATGAGTAGTGGGTACTATATAAATAAAGTCCGCAAAATTCCATTCATCGGTAACTACATACCCACTCTTTAAAAGATTATTCGTAAAAGCACACCGTAACTACCCACGAATTCCCTCAAAAACTGAATTCTAAAAAACAACGACAATTAAATAAAGAGAACTATTGGTGCTTGATAAAGAGTAGAACTCACTCAATTCCATAAAATTCATAGAAAGATTTCAAATTCATTTGATGACGAGAGCTCTTAGTGTGGTTGATCCAGCACTTTAGGCCCTGTATGTTTCCACAATGGCATATAGAACAAAAGTGAGACCTAAACTTATATAAGACTAAATTTATACTAACGTACGGTTGCCGTCCATAATTGAATTCATTTTCCTCAAACTTTTTGTGGTGTTTTTCACTAATATCATGTTCATAACTTTCCTGTTAAATATTAGTATCGACCAGAATAATTTTTGTATACCTGTTCTGTTTTAAACGAAATACCGCAAAGCTCACAGACGTACATAACTAGTACCGAGCAGTTTCAAAGCCCCGCTTGTCACATTTGGAACCGAAACTTGTCTGGAAAATTATCAGTTCTTGTGAACGATTTTGAACGGAATTGGTCAGTAGAAATACTTGAATGTACTTTTGGTTATGATGTTCAGGTTTACGAGTTATCTTTTTCTGACAAAAATTAGAGAGCCAGTTGGAGCTCGACCTCAAATGAGAGATAAGAGTTATAAACACAGCTACGTACTACGTCTCAGCTGAAACACATCGCATAACAAAAAAGTGGAAAGCATCACTTGTTGGAACAGAGGCCAAAAAGTAACTTGATGTCTGAATAAAATTGTTTCTAAATTCCTGAACCACCACATAAGTTCACAAAATAAATAGTTTGGGAACTCATCGACTCAGATGCTGACTATATTAGTTTTATGGAATAAACCTAAGCTAAAGTCTCCCAATCACCAAGTAAAAGCCTCACACGACACGAAACAAAACCATAGATTCCTGTAATATTTTTACTCTTTTTCTTAATCTTCATCACGGTCGCAGAGAATTCAATACTCCCCAAAGAAGTAAGTCATAAAAAATAACTGCTTCTAGACCACAGGAAGCAAGTAGACTCAATTAGCGCTCTTTCCAAGCACACCATGATGGATCGCTTAGAAGTAGCAGGGAACCATGTATTTCTGAACTTCGAACCATGCATTCCAACAAACCTTCATGAATATTCCCCTGCTGCCATGCGATAATGGCAAACACACTCGGTAGATATAGCCGTCTGTTATAAATTACTGACATGATTGTGAACGGTCATCGTTTTATCTACATCGGCGCAGGAGTAAGCGTCCTTTTCGCGAATACCAATGATTGTATAAAATCCAACCTTTAATTCACTGGTGAAAAACGAGAAACCGATAGCCGCTTACGGTAAAAGGTGTGGTTACCTTAATGTGGAGTTATACAGATATATTCGCTGTTTTTTGTTGTTGCAGACGTTGCCATGCCACTAATCGGTATAAATCATCCACAACACTTCAACCTGTTCATCGATCCAAGCAAACAGGTTGAAAGATGACAATACAAAATAACTTATATTGAACTTCACTTTCTATTCTTAGGTTATGCTCACTCACGATTAAACTTATAACCGATTCATGCATCCACCCGATACTCGACAATGGCCGTGAAATTTAAAAACCACAACCGTATACCCATGTGCCATGACCCGGGTCCAGGGTTTCCTGTTGACTACCTCCAACCACCATCTAATCTCAATACATAGTGCCCGCAGTGTCGAGTCACCTAGACTGGTGGCCACATTGCAACATGATCGATAGCATTCGATCTGCACTAATAAGGACTAGACAAGCATGAGATTGATCACCACCCAGTGATCAATCAATTGTGATTACATCTCAGTCCTACAGGAGGTTAGTCACGGCTCGGATAGCTCAGTGATAACGTCTCTGACTGTGAAGCTGGGTGACACGAGATCGAATCCGCCAGGGAGCACCAGTTCCCTCAAGATTACAGGTACACCTTGCTGACGAGTGCCAAGTAGCACGAAACCCGGGTCCAGGGTTTCCTGTTGACTACCTCCAACCACCATCTAATGCCATGACCAGCGTTACACATCAATTTGGGATCACAGAAGCACCTGCATTCTCAAAAGCGTGCCTACTAGCTCAGGAAAAGCACATATTACCCGAAAAAGAATTCCACCATATGACAGACGTAGGAATTATCCGGACATCTTGCAGCCCACCGGTATCTACATTGCACATGCAGCCCAAAAACCAGCAAAATAGTAGTTCAACGGTTATTACAGATGACCCAATATGAGAACTGCACCTAATCGTAATCTCTGATCAAACATCCACGACCTGAGAGCCATGCAGAAAGGTAAGGCTGTCTTTCCGGAACTCAATTTGGTTGAAGTGTGCAACCGAGTTCTTGTGGTCGCAGATGAGTTTCTTAACATGTCTATCTCCACTCCCTTTGAACCCTACGAATTTTTGCGTATGTTTTTGGCTTGATAGATTCTGCCCAAACTTTTAAAAAGTCTGACGACTATTCATTAATAGGTCACAACTTTGTGCATCCTTATGTTGGTGGTATTTGTTTGCAAGTCTAGACAATAAATCCCATCCTCAGCATCTTGACCTTGTTGTTCGACGGCTCCGAAAACGCGGCACTAATAAAAACATTCAGAAATGTCGAATACGGACTAGCTCTTTCAACTTTCTCGGCATTACTGTTGATGCTCAAGTTACTCGCCCTCTCTAAAATAAAATGACAGTCGTTTCGGGGTATTGAGAAGCGATCACATTCAGTCAATTACGCACATTTAACGGCCTAGTAAGTTCTGGCTTACGATTCGTACCAAATCGCGCGACTCTCATGAGCTGTTTATGACATACAGTTATTTGGCGAATGCATAGTCAGTCAATCCGAAACGTTAATTTTGTGTAACACATTTTGCGAGAGACCCGCCCATAATACATATAACATGTTTCTAGGTGAAATAATTATCAATAATTCTGACATCAGAAGGTTCAAAAAATTCTCCGTAACGTTCTTATTAATGGAGTAGTATTTATCATCTCAATAAAGAACTCTCTAGGGCTCTTCTTTTGCACATTCATTGAAGATGGTTAATAATTCACGAATTCGCCTGGAAATCGAAAAGCTTTGCACTGAAAAAGGTCAACTGCATCAAATACGACGTCAACTATACTGAACGGAAGATTCCAAGTAACAATAGTGAAAGGATACCAGTACAAGGGACTACATTTAAATTTTAAAGTGAAAGTTCTCAAAATGTCGATGAAATCGTTCCACCGATCTGCAAACTTGTGGTAGGTAGACGGTTGTTTGGGATCCTATTGTTTCTAGTGGTCTATCATGACAACGGAAAAGCACAGAACTTAACTGACATCCAAGCTCGGTAAATTGATAGAAAGTGAACTAGAGTTTGCTGGGCATTGCTTGACGACGTCGCGACCGACCAATTCAGCAGTAGTCCATTTGATGACAACTGCTACTGGCTATTAACAGAGTGAAAACATCCATTTGAATCCTATCGAAACAAGACGAACATCATTGGGAAGAGGGTCCTCAGTGGAAATAAACTATGATGGAAATCAATCGTGTTACTGGAGACGTTTGGCTGATTAAAAACGTTTTATTGCATATTAATAATTTTACCGTGTTTTTTGGATGTATTTGTTTCACTCAACTTTTGAACTTGTTGGTTTATATCATTATCTTCGGACATTTTGGTTTCTTTTGTCTTTGGTTTGTTATTTGGGAGTTTTTGCTCCGGGAACCTACAAAGTTGAAGCATTGTTTTGTAGTTGTTATGATTATTGTAGCTAGAACAACATTTAGGTCGACTATTTGTAAATTGCGAATAAACTTTGGTACCTAAATTGGAGTTTGGTTCTACTTTTAATTTCGGTTCGTAAATCGCAAATAGATCGATATGCCGTAATTCGATAACGGGAACGACGTAATATGCCTGTCGTGGTGAACCAATCAAGCTATACTGGCTGAAGCAGTCGTTCCTAAAGGTTCATCCATGCCAGACGGTTCGGCTGAAGAGCGATAAGACTAAGAGCGGCAAACCCAATGTCTAAGGGTGCAGTCGTACTGCTGACTGTACAGAGGTGTGACGGCAGTAAAGTGTTTCCTTTAGACAGCCAGCATAACGGCGATGCTGCCTTCACACAGTGAAGGGGTGAAGTAAAAATGTAGACTTAATAAATGCACACCTCGCCTTATCCAACTGATATCCATCTCCGGCGGTAGGTTGTCGACAAATACGCATCTCCCCAAGGTCATAGTTTGCAGCGGGCGCTTTATGAGTCCACTTTATAACAACTATAGACCTAATAAGTTGAGGGCATACTGTGAGCCAACAAATGTTTTAATTTGTAGACCGTGCCTGTAAAAATGGCGTGTACCTGCTCATGCAGAAGTATATCATTACTATCAGGTGTTTTATCTAACCCAGCTAGTTGTTGTGATGGATGCATAGCAAGACGTACTCAATGGTGATCTGGAGCGGATGCGTGGTCGAGAGCCCTCGGCTAGTACAGGCTCGTGTCCAATTACATTTCGTATTGCGAACCTTTCATCCAATTTTCTGCGTCTATTTGTTATGACATCCACATACTCCTTGTATAAAATATGTCGGCAACCAGAAATACTCAGATATCTGTCTTGGGCTAGCAAATAAATGGTTAGGTCACAGCTTCAAAAATTCATTAAACGGTGAGACTATAGTTTATAGACGACCTTTAACCAACTATCAAGTGACCTTGAGGGTGTCTACCTACCGCCTAGGGCCAAATAAGGGTTATAGAGTAGTTTGAAGATTAAGCATTATGATTTACATTCGAAGGTTAGGGTCAGGTACTAGATTTAGGATTTTCATCACAAAACGACTTCACCTATAATGCCAGGAATCTATTTAGCCAAATGGATGAATGAACACATCAAAGGACCCTAGAAACTCCTCACCATGGTTTGATAGGTAGGTTCGCATCCTTCTCCGTAAGAGAAGAAAAATGTGGGATAGATTTAGGTTACTGGGGATCGATGAGAAAAAATCTCAGTATCGAAAGCTCGGAATACCTGTGCCTCGACCATCCGTAAGTCTAGAAATTTGTACGAAGAGAAAATTGTCAAGAATTCCATAGAATGTCCTAAACGCTTGTATTCCTATATAAACAAAAGGACAAAAAGAGGAGAAAATATACCTGCACTATGGGGAGACGGTACTGCCACACCATTAGTGGAGGACGACTTCTGTAAGGTTCAAGTATCCTCAAACTACTATAGCAATGTATGTACTATAGAAACACCCTCCCCGTCAGTCCATACCAATCCCCACACAAACATTGGACAGCGTGATCATTAAGGAACTCGAAGTCTTTGGTCCGATAAATAAGCTTGACATAGGCAAATCCATGGGGCCCGAAGAATTGCATCCTAGGCCACCAAAGGAAT